TTCTGAAGTTGCAAAGAATTTTGTCCCCTCCCAAAAAAAATAAAAAATGTATATTTGAAGCATGCCCACAGAAAAATAAGTACCTTTCAAAAATGTACACAAAGACACACATGTACAAAAATGCATCCATTTTGGAAGAAGTAAACAAAAATACACGACTTTCAGTATGGCTGGGAGAAAGCCTCATATCCTGATGTGAGTCGGATGAGTATATTGGTAGAAAACTGGGAACAAATGAGACTGAACTTAACAGATTCACTCATCCGTAGGTGTTGACCATTTCATTCAAGAATAGGAAGTCATCCTTCTAGGTACGTGGATTATTGAGAGCCAGTGTGGTGTAGTGGTTAAGAGTGTGGGACTTGGACTAAGGAGATCTAGTTCCAGTCTCTGTTCAGTCATGGAGCTCCCTGGGTGGCTTTGGGCCAGTCACAGACTCTCATCCCAACTTATCTCACAGGGTGGTTGGGTTGTATAAAGCTAAGCGTTGTATAAGACTGAGAGGAGAATTATGTAAGCTGCCTTGAGTTCTTTTAAAGGAAAAAAGACAGGATATAAATATGATAAAAATAAAATTAAGGGAAGGTACTGGTACCAAATAGGTTTCCTTAGAATGGCATGTTAATATGTCACGGGATATTTTCCCCAAAGGAGAGTGTTAAGACGTCAGCTCCTCCCTTTGTCAAGTGCTACAAAAGGGGTTCTTTACCACCCCCACCGCTACCCCCACACTCACAACTCTCTCTGTGAAGCCTAGCAGCTGCATCAGCTAGAATCACGACCATGTTTTTAATCCTTATTTTAATCTCCAAGGTGTGCTTTTTTGTGTTTTCTTGCCTTTTCTTTCATAACACCAAATAGTAATTGCTTAACTGATCTAGTAATTTTCCCTGTCAGATGAACTGTTCTAATTACCTTACAAATGACAAGAAATTACCTAGGAGTTGCCATTTTCCATGCTATTTTGAGAGCCATCAAAAATCGCATTTGTGCATTCGAACAATTGGACCAAAAGAGCTCCAGTGACCTCCATTTGCTTTGACTGAGAGACAGGGACGAGGTAGGCAGCTGGGGGTGGGGAGAAAATGAGCAAAAACAATAACTGTCTTGAGTCATTCTGTGGAGAACGTCGCCTTGATGAAGCAGCCTGTCAGGATCTTGAAACTGCCTGTGGAACTGAATGTCTGCAGCGAATACTAAGAATAATAATTTCACTGGTGAAATGAGAACAATGGGTAAATACAGATATTTCTGTTTCTAGCACCCATGAGCATGCTGGTCAAAGAAAAGACATCCACTGATGTCAGATAGGAGAACTAATTTTTTTGATCACTTCGGGGGCTAAAGAAGTGAAGCAGCATTACTTGCCTTGAAGGGGTCTGTGCCCTTTGACTCTGAAATAGGCAAAATACCACAGTGTTCTCATATCTGTCTCTTCTATATACATCACTTGGGGAGGAATGTAAACTGTCGTATTCTCCATCTGTCCATAAGATAATCAGTATATGGACTTAGATTTCCTTCTAGAAGTGTGTGTGTGAATGTATATAAACCTACATAGTATAACAACACATACACATATACATGTATACATGAAAAACATTAGTGGTTGCATGGGAGGAAATGAAGCAGGGTGTTTGGAAGACAGATCCATAACAGGAAAAATGCAGCTGGAGAAGCAGATGACTGGCCTGGTGTCTCAGCTTATTTTATCTTTCTCCCATTTCAGCCACCGCTAAACCCTGTAGGCTGAATGTGAGACTCCCTAGCAGTCCTTCTAGCCACACATTTCTCTATATTTGGCAACGGGGTAAAAATAGCTTGTGGTGTGTAAGAGTTAACATCGGGAACAGAGAATGACAAGTTGGCTCCAGGGTTCCTTGGGCGAGGAGAAAAAATAACATGTCAGTTTTTTGCATCTGTCATTCATAGCCTACATGCAAAGACTTGGTCAAAGTCACCCTGAAAGAGGGCATGTGTATGAAGGAGGGTGACCTTTCATGGAAAGTGCTGCCAAACAAATTGCTTCAACAGTAGAAGGCCCAGTGTAAAGGCCCAGTGTAATTTGCTTATTGAAATGCCTGAAACCTGATCCAAAAACGTTATGCTACCCAGTGATGCTCAAAGCATGGAGTATTTCCCAGCATACCTATATGATGCCATACCATGACTTTCCTTAGACTTACGGAGTGTTGCCATGTGTCAGGGAATCATAGACTAGTAGTGTTGGAAGGGGGCAAAGTGTTATCAGGTCCAACTTAACCACCCCTCCCAGATGGTTGCCCAGTGCCATTTCACACCTAGAACACCGAGGAATTTTTTTTATACTGTTGGGGAAAACATGAATCGAATGTGGATCTTGTGGAACTGTGAGGCTGGAACAAGGGAAAGGTGGATGATCGAGTAAGTCTGACCTGGAAGTCTGACCAGGAACAACCACGGACTATTCTAGTCCCATTGCTATGATGAAAGGCTTGTGTTGGTATGGGGTTCCTTCCTTTGGCCTTGCTGGCTGGTGGCAGAGGACAGCTTGAATGTCTTTCTCAAGTGAGCAGTACAAGACCCACTGGGGGTTTGATTCCTGGTGCAAAAATGGCTGTGGAGAGCCAGACCACACAGTGGCCTGCTCGATGCTTTGAGAAGTCCACAAAAGGACAAGAATGCAAAAGCACCCTCCTGTTCACATCCTCAGCAGCTGATATAAGAGCAAACCTCCTCTGATACTGGAGATAAAATACAGGCCTCTGCTCAAGTACCATTGTTAGCTTTACCCTCCATGAGCTGTCTAATTCCCTTTGAAAGCTCCCCAAATTGCAGCCATTACTACTTCTTGTGGCAGCCAGTTCCCTATTTTAGCTATGTGCTTCATTTTATCTTTCCCAAAATGCTTGTCATTCAGCTTCCTTGGAAGACTCTGTGTTCTTGTTGTGAGAAATTTTCCTTGCTAGCCATTTTTTCCACACCATGCATAATTTTGTGTACATTTTGTACATGCTGAATGATGTAGATTCATATGGGGAAAGCAAACCAATTTAATGTGAAAAATGTCCACAGACATAGAGGTACAAATGTTTAGAATTTATGTATTTGTTAGATTTATATCCCACCTTTTTATTGTTTAAAAAGTCAAAGCAGCTTACATCATTAAACCAATATACTTATTGGTCTCCATTTCATTCTAACAGGACATTTTTGGTATAGCACTTTGAAAAACAGGTTACCTTGTTTAGTCTGATAGAGATCAAAGCACATGACTGTGATCTAGTTGCTAGGAAAAGCACTGCTAATATCATTGTGAAGAACTGCACATTTACTTAAGCAAGCAGCCCTGGGATGCAGCTGAGAGCTGCCTCACCTTTGGAGGCCATGGATTCTGTTGAGAGAGGGCGTCCAAAATCAGATCCATCCCCTTTGCAGCCACTGCAGAAAGCATTGTGGTGGTTGCTCTTTTGAAATTGTAATGGCAACATTGGAAGGGTTTGGGGAGAAGAAAAGGGGAGAGGGATGTTGGGAAGGAAGGGATGAGGAGAGCCCAGGACTTTTAGGATCCTAAAGCATCCCACCTACAAGGTAGGTCAAATAGACAAAGTGAGAAGCTCATCTAACTGAAAACAAAGGAAAGGAGGGAGGCATTCTCACCTCCACCCTTCTCCCACGTTTTCTGGCTTGTGTCATGTGGTATCAGATGGAAAGATGCCACTGAATTTGGAGCCCTTTGGCTGTCCAGTGGCAATCCCTTAGGCTTGCACTCTAAGTGATGTAATCGGGCAGTGGATTTTAGTAGATTACTGCTGGAACTATAGAGGGTGAAAGTGCGAATATTCAGGGTGTTGTGCAATTAAATCAATTGGCAGTCTTGTCCACACCACTGGCAGTGGCAAAGGAGGCAGTAGACTGGAGGGACTGGCACCATTTTTTCCCATCCCAAAGATGCGCAGACTTTTGTTTTGTGTTTTTATTTTTATCTTTTTGAGTTGGGTTCGTTCACCTGTGGGGCTGTGCAGTTCCATCATCTGCAAATGGGAAGCTACACTTGAGCAATGCCCCAGGGGCTCCCTGCTGTCAAAGTGTAGCAGGTACCAGCTAAACCCAGAGTGATTCCAAGTAGGATTTTTATTCACTTTGCTTTAATGTAACAGTTGTCAAAGGAAGGGCTGTCAAGTCAAACTAAAGCCAAGGGGGGTAGGAACCTTTCCCCCCTTCACAGTGAACGCCTCATAGTTTAGAAGCCATAGTTTAGATAGGGGAGTCTACATAAACCAGTGATGGTGAACCTTTTAGAGACCGAGTGTCCAAACTGCAACCCAAAACCCACTTATTTATCACAAAGTGCCAACACTATAATAAAACCTGAAAACTGATGTTTAAGTTTAGAAAAAACGACTCACAGCCAGTCCAGGCATATCTATCTATCTATCTATCTATCTATCTATCTATCTATCTATCTATCTTTCCTTGGCAGCACACTGACTGGCCATGCGAAAGCTCGGACTAGTCACTGCTAATGAGTCTCAGCTTGTGACGTCATTGCCTGGTGCCGCTACTCCTTTCCGAGCGTGCTCACGGCCCCTGTGTGTGCTGTTATCCGATGCTCGGCTGCTGGGGCGATGCTGGGGCGACTTGGCTCGCGTGCCGACAGAGAGGGCTGTGTGTGCCTGCTGGGCCACGCATGCCATAGGTTCGCCACCACTGTCATAGACCTTCTGGAGGGAATGAGAAGAGAATAGCCCATAGTGAGGTCGATCATACATTGTCCCACAATAACCAACCCACCACAGCTTATTTCCAGGGCGCGTTACTCTAATGCGCAGACCTGCCCAAAGAGAACATTCCTTTTGTTTATTCCCTTATAATTAATCAAAAGCAGTTTATTTTTTCATTGGATTTCTAAACCATACCCAATAATCCCACACAGCACTCCCCAGGCAGTAGACAACCACTTTATTTATGGATTTCTTTCTGTGTGCTTATATTCCCCCAATTTTTCTTTTCTTGTACAGATTTGAGCGTATTCATACTAAAAAGGGGAATTACAGTCGTTCTCCAGTTGCAAACCAGGAGGATGTAGACGATCTGGCAACCTTGGAAGTATTAGATGAGGTAAGACATATATTGACCACATGTGAATGCACAGGGGGAGCGTGAATGGGCTGGCACTCATGCAAGCAGAGGGGAGTGGTCCTGGTCCATTGTCAGCACTGTCCTCTCATGTACCTCCCTGTGTTCTTTTGCACTTCCTGGAACTGGTGGAGGTCTAGAAAGGGGATCCCTTTGCTTCTTGCCGTCTCCACATTATCAGGAGTTCCAGGTGCAGGGAAGAGTCTATGCAGGTGCTGATAGTTCCCCCTTCAGACTTTTGCGTAGTTTTTGTGTTACACATGAACAAAGAGTGCCGTAAGTGTTGTTGCACAGAACTGAAGATAAGGGAGCATAATAAACCTGCTCCAGGTGTTCAGCTGCAATACAAGTAGGTCTAAAGTGAAAATGGTGTCCGAACACACACTCCAAACTACATCATTCAGAACGATGATCTGAAAAGATCTCACAACTGTGTTAGGTTAAATGTGCTTGCAAAGCTCCCACAACCAGAAACCCTAATAGGACAGGACTTATAAGCCCCTTTTCAGATTTGTACCAAACATGCTAAAATCTGTGATGTGGCCAAGGGTTCAGGGGTACTTGGGGGTGGAATGTGCATTCTCACACATAGCCTGTCTGCAATTTTAGCCCTAGTAGTGTTGACACGATTTCTAATTCAGAATGCTGGCTTTTGAGGTAATGTTTCTGATAGATGTACAAAGTCAAGATGCATGCAAATACATAAATGGGTCTGTCTGTCTGTCTGTCTGTCTGTCTTCCAGAATACAGTAACGGAGCAACTGCAAAAGAGCTATGCGAGGGATCAGATCTACACCTACGTAGGAGACATTCTCATAGCAGTCAACCCTTTTCGGAACTTAGACCTTTATGCTACCCAGGTGTGAAAATAAAAGCTTCTATTTGGCGTGAAATTTTGAAAGGCTGCCACATTTGTACTAAGCTCTGAGGCATTTGAGGGGGAAGCTTTCTCTCCTCACTGTACACTGAAGAGGTCAAGAAAACATTGCCCAGGGGGAATAACTAGCCGAGCCTGTAATAAAAGCCTTTCCATATGCCATGGGCTGTTTGGGTTGGGAGGCTTCCCAGAGCTTGGTCAGCCAAGCTCAGAGCTGCACAGCGTCTCCCCTAGGGCTGTGGACTTCACTGGGCTTGCCCATGTGTCCCTCCAGCCTTAGCAGTCCTCCTTTGGGAGGTTTGCTTAGTTCTGCCAGAGCAGTGATTGATGTCCAGGGATTCAGCTAAACGTAGACTGAAGCTAATATATGGTGTGTGTGCAAGATCTCATTTCCCGTTCCAAGTAGAAGAGCTTACAAGACAAATGTTTGATTCATGCTGCATTCAAGCTGAATAGGCCAGATCAGTAACCATGCTGGCTGCAGGATGATGGGAGTTGCAGTCCAACCTATCTAGAAGGTGCCAAGTTAGGGAAGACTGGAATAGGCAAATTAGTATTCTGGTCCAGGTAATTACAACTTTGGGCAATGCCAGTACTCAGAACTGGTCTATCTTAGGAGACCAGAAATGCAAGAGGAGAACATGAACGAATGGAGACAATGATGTTTCTGTGCTCCTACCTTCAGCACTCCAAACTGTACATTGGGGCCAAACGGACTGCCAACCCCCCTCACATTTTTGCCGTGGCTGATATTGCGTACCAATCCATGGTCACATATAATTCAGACCAGGTAATGACCTTGTTCTAAAAGGCCAAATTTGATCCTCCCTTCAGTTGTGAAGCAAGGTAATTCTAGGCATGGTCTCTGGCTCTCCTCTGCAGTGTATTGTCATTTCGGGAGAAAGTGGAGCGGGAAAGACCCAGAGTGCCCATCTTCTGGTTCAACAGTTGACTGTCCTTGGAAGGGTAAGAGAACTTCTAAGCCTAGTTGTGAAAAATGTTTTGGCTCGCAGCCCCTCCAAAAGTTTCTCTGCTCCACAGCTATAGGAAGGAAATATACTCAGTTCACCTTTTAATGCAAACTCACCTTATTTTGCACTTTTGAACCAATATGTTAATCAAAACTGGGCTTACCTTTGAAATTCACACTTGTACAAATTTTGCAATGAAATTCTCCAATTAAAGGGTACATACACGTGTGACTAACAAGGGTAGGTGTGCACCAAATTTCACGTGTTGGTAAAAATTACTTTTCAAAATGCACTATATTGAAAAAAAAGTTACAAAAATGTATATTTGGAAACATTGTATTCAAAAATATGTGCATTTGGAAAACTGCACACAAAATGTGTACACATTTTAAAAAACTAAACTTTTAAAGACTCAAAGTTCAGGACAAATATTCTTAAAATTCAGGATGAACCTTAATCTTAGGAAAACAATTAACTGAGAGACACCAAGAATGACTGGTTTATCCTTCCCTAATGAGGCATAATTATTTTGAATCTGTAAAAGTCTCCAAACTCATCTGAGGTATCCTATATTGAGAGTTTAAATGAATGAGATCCCTCATGTATAAAGTTAACATGTGCATTAGAGCTTATTTTCTCTGAGTTATTGATGCTAGCTATTATCATGGTGATCATAGAACCAGGAGGGTTACCAAAAAATGGATCACCTATTGTGGGGCAGAAGACAATTCTTACTCCTGGTTGTATACAGAAATTGCATTTTTTGAAAGTTCTCCATCTGTTTTTAATGTTTACCCAGGCGAATAATAGAACTCTTCAAGAAAAGATTCTCCAGGTCAACAATCTGCTGGAGGCTTTTGGAAATGCAGGCACTATAATAAATGATAATTCCAGCAGATTTGGGAAATATCTAGAAATGAAATTCACTTCCACTGGAACTGTTGTAAGCGCTCAGATTTCAGAATATCTTCTAGAAAAATCTAGAGTCATACATCAAGCTGTGTAAGTAGAGGGAGAACAAAGGGGGCACTTTCAGAGAAGAGGGCGGGAAAGTGTTAAATTGGGGTTTAGTTCGGATGAATAGCAAGGGTGCTCTGCATTACCTGCATGTGGCCAGCTGGTGGGATTGGCTGTAGCAAGGGCACAAGGCCACTTAAATTGCATTGTGTACACCACTGAACGGTGAAGTTATTTCCTCAATGATTTTTCTAGCGGCCACAAAATGAGGACTGACTTGTTGAAATGTATGAGGCAAGCATGGTAGAGCGTTCATCCCAAGTAACACTGATGGTTGCTATCTATTGCGCTTGTTAGGTGTGACTCTGATTAAGGGAATCACTGCAGTTGAAGGCCCCCTTCTTAGACAATGCAGCCTTCAAAGTTGCTGTGTCAGATTCAGAATCAGAACTGGAAGAAGTGGCATCCTGAAATGCTTAGCTGAGATTTCGACTAAGGCAGGCAGCTTGGGGAACCGTACAGTTTCAAGTGGAGAGCCAGTGTGGTGTAGTGGTGAAAAGCATGGGACTGGGACTCAGGCGATCTGGGTTCTAGTCCCCGCTCAGCCATGGAGCCAACTGGGTGACTTTGGGCCAGTCACAGACTCTCAGCCCAACCTACCTCACAGGGTTGTTGTTGTGGGGATAAGATGGAGGAGGAGAATGATGTAAGCTGCTTTGAGCCCTTTGTAGGAAAAAGGCAGGATACAAATCGAAAAATAAATACATAAATAAAATAAGTTATGTGGTTGAGCATTCAGAAATGGTCAGAAATGACTATACATCTTCAGCCCAGTTGTACAGGGTAAGGAAAAATGGCCAAGCAATTGAGAAGCATCAGATGTTCTCAGTTATTGGCCCAGCAGCAGCAGGAACCTCCCTGAAGGTGGAGACGGTTCCTTTTGCTTTTCTCTGGGAGGACGAGTATTTAGTTTGGAATGAGTATTTAGTTTGGAATCAACTTTGTATCATGAAGCTACATTTCCCTAATGACTAGTAGTCAAAGTCACTAGTGCCTTTTGTTAATGGCTGCTGCAGTATTCTTGCATCACAAAGCCAGCCTAGCTGGCCAGCTTTAACATAATAGAGATGTTGGTTAGACAGCTTTTTGTCCTGATTGCTTGGGAGGAGGTGGAAGGGTGGGGAAGGTTGTCCCATAGCAACAATGTACAACAGGAGTAATAGGAACAATAGGCATTCATCTGTACTGGGTCAAAGTTAGAAGCATAGCTTACGTATAAGATTTAGATACAGAGAGTTGTTTTTCTTTAAAACAGAAAATAAAATCCTTTATGGGTGCGATTCTGTGGCTGTTAAATGCTGTCTAGGTGGGCACAGGAACACTGAGGACCAGGTTCTCTCCATGCTGGATGCAGCTCGGAAGGCACAAGTGCCTCTGCTGTGAGAGGCGAGTTCAGGAGGGCGGGGCTGGCATGGAGGGAATGAGAAAAGGTCTCCCGTAATGTAAGGCAGGGCTCAAACACTTGGGCCACTGAAGCAGCCAAGGGTTTTAAACGGCAAGGGAAGCATGGAGGGAATCCTTGGATTTGTGCAGCTTCTACCCCCTACTGGATGCTCTGAGGTCAAAGGATTGTGGGCAGTCGTGCTGGATGGAGCCTTGATCAGTGCTTGTGTCAGTCTGTAGAAATGTGTGTGCATGCACGCACAATATACCTGCACGCACAATATAATGCATAGCGATGCTTTTTCTGTTCATGATCTGCTTTCAATCCTGGCCTCCTGCTCTGCTTGTCATCTTGTGCCGTGACCACACCTTTCACTTCTTCCTAAATTCTTACAGACTGATGGAGCAAGGCCTAGAACTGGCTAGAAGATTAGCTGAAGTGTAAATAAGAATGCTTTTGCCATGCATTTTATCATAGCAGACAACCAGATGTTACGCATTCTTGGCTCCATGTTGGTGTTCTGTTAATAGCTGCCATATTGTGGCTTGTTGCTTTGCTTTTCATTTTTCAGAGGAGAGAAGAATTTTCATATTTTCTATTACATCTATGCTGGCTTGGCAGAAAAGAAAAAACTGGCTCATTATAAATTGCCTGAAAATAAGCCTCCCAGGTAGGAGTGGCTTCTGTCTGCATTGTATTTTTCCCCCCCACCACACATGTGGCATGTGCCCAGTTTTGCATTTCTCAAGGGGAGTAAGAATACCATTCCCATGCTGCCTGGGGATGACGGGAGTCCAACTTATCAGGAGGGTGCTAGACTGTGATGGGTTTCACTAAACTAGTGGTGCAAAGATCTGGCCGGAAATTGCCGGTTGTGGTCACTAGACTTCTTTCCTGTACTTGGCCCTGCCTAGGAAGCAAGCCAAGGTGGGTTCAAGTCCTCAAATGCTCAGGAACACTAGTGAACCACTTCATGGTGCAAAGTACTTAGGTCTTTGCACACAGCACATGAAGTCCACAAGTCATGTGTGTGGAAGGAGATACCCACTTGCATAGTTGTGTGTGGGCGACTTGTGTACAAACCAGCCTCAGACTCACTAGGACCTGCGTCCTGCCAGACACCCTTGCAAACTCCGGGCACAAGGCAGACTTAGGGCAGAGAGAAAGTGGGCTGAAGTTTGGAGAGCTGAACTCAGGAAATATATCAAAGTCCACACCCCCAGGCTGAATTTCTCACACATTGCTACCCTAAACTCATTACCTGTTCTGAGTTTGTTTCCCCCCAAGATAAATACCTAAGTGGACTGTCACTTTTTCTTATATGAAAACTTCCACACTCTTTCTCACTCCTTTATTCCCCCAGGTATCTACAAAATGAACATCTCAGGACAGTACAAGATTTCATGAACAACACTTTCTACAAATCCCAGTTTGAATTAATTGAGCAGTGCTTCAAAGTGATTGGTTTCACAATGGAGGTGAGTGCCCTAAACTTCTGCCATGTTGCTGTTACTTTTTAATAAAGCATTTTTGAGGCATATCATATCAAAGCGGATAGCCACAAAAGGAAATTTCTGCAAGGATGTGTGAATAAATGAATACTGAAGCAGCTTCTACAGGGCTTGCTTGTTTTGGGCAGTTATCTCACTGGGCATTTTCACGTGTCACACTAACCCATCATGGCAATAAGCCACAGTCGATTGGTCATTCTGTAATAGATGATTAGGCTCATGAACGCTTGTTTCTTCTCTCTCTCTCTCTCTCTCTCTCTCTCTCTCTCTCTCTCTCTCTCGCACGTGCGCGCGTGCCCTTGGGCCTCCCAGGGATCCCTGTGCAGGACTAACTTGTCTCCTACTTCCTTCCAAAATCTATGGAGGAGAAAAGCCATGGAGAGCAAAAATTACTTACAATCATGGCAGGGAAGGCAGCAAGCCAACTCCAGCCACGCCAAGTTGTGGCACTGGGAGGATGCTGGCACTGGGAGGGTGCTCAAGCACATTTGGCAAGGGTGGCAACATTTTTCTCCAGTCTTGCCAAGTGGCTTGGTGGCCCATTCCTGGTACCCACAATGGGGTTGTTCTGTGGGGTTCAGATGCCATAACAGCCCATCATGGTTTCAACAACTCCTAGAACAACCTTGCAAGGTTCTTATGGCTCTACAATCCATTGTGGGATGCAACCCATAATGGGTTGGTGTGTTGTGCAAACCCTATCATAGATGAATATGCATGAAAATGCTATTTTAGAATATGTCATCAAGTTTTATTCAAACATGATCTCAAGAGTTGGATGTAGAAGGGATCAAGAATGGTCCACATCCAGTCACCTGCATGAAACATTTCCAGGGTGGGGGGAGCAGTGAAAAGTTCAGCAAAATAATTCTAAGGTTCATCCTGTGAAAGGTGTCATGTTAGAACCAGCTCTAAATGTTCATAAAGCCAAACAACTTATTGCTGTTGATGATACGGATTTATTTCAAAGATTGATTAAACCATTAAAATACCACTGAAATAATAATAACAAATTAATAGTAATTAATAGTAATATCATAATCAGGCATGGTGGACAACGCTAGCGGTCAGGGAAATGCCTGGGCAAACAAATTCATTTTAGGCACTGTGCTGGGAGCCGAGCAGCTCTCAGGAGGGAGACCGTGCTGCATCGTGGGCGGGACAGCTGAGGCAACTGATAGATTTACACAGTGTTCCATTTCACAGAATCACAGAACAGAAAAGTTGGAAGGGGCCATGAAGGCCATCAAGTCCAACCCCCTGCTGTTGCAGGACACCATGTTACACCATCCCACTCAGATGGCTGTCCAGTTTCTTTTTGAATGTCCCTAATGTGGGAGAGCCCACCACCTCTCTAGGCAGCTGGTTCCACTGTCGTATTGCTCTGACAGTGAGGAAGCTTTTCCTGACGTCCAGCCTGAACCTGGGTTTTCACAACTTGAATTAATTATTCTGTGTCCTACATTCTGGCATCAGCAAGAAGAGATCTTGACCTTCCTCTTTGTGACATCCTTTGAGGTACTTATGGAGGGATATCATGTCCCCCCTCAGTCTTCTCTTCTCAAGACTTAACATGCCCAGTTCCCAGTCTCTCTTCACAGGGCAGTGTTTCCAAACCCTGGATCATTTGTCATCTGCCTCAACTTCAAACCTAAATATTGTGGACAACGCAGATGGAGTCAGATGAGTGATTTGTTTTTTTAGTGTCCTGCCTTTCTTTTCATCCTCTGTATAATCCTTTGAGGGCACCATCTGATGTAACTCATCAAACTCAGAGGACTGCAGGCATCCAGAGAGAGCAGGGGGGAGCGGGGGAACATGGAGGCAAGGAAACGCATCTTCTGCGATGCAAAAAGCACAGCCAGCTTCATCCGCCTGCGCCTTTTGCCCCTGCTTGGGAGGAGGATCGGCTGGGGCCCCACTCGGATTTCCTCCACATGTGATTTGGGAGCTGCAGCCAGCCAGAAGCAGCACACTGGCTCAGAGGGAAGAAGGGGAGTCCTTCGAGGCCAAAGGAAGGCCTTGGAACCCATCGCTTTGGTTGCAGGTGGGACTTAAACCAGGCCTGTGACTGTCTAGACAAGCGTCTACAGCCATAGCCATGTGTGCAAAGGGAGCAGTGTGCCTTTGCCTACTAGATTAGCAAGTGCAGAGGGATATAATTTTTGTTATGGACTTTTCACCAAGCAAATTGGTGCTGAAGGCTCTAGAAAGTAGAAAGTGCTAACTCATACGTTGATTTTAGGTTTAAGTCTTTGTTTCCACATGTAGAATGCTGGTTTGTGTAAGTTACCCTCTCCTGAGCTCCTAGGAAAGTGCTTGCAGCCCATGCTGGGCTTTTGTCACCACTGGCAGCCTCCTTCTTACTAATTGCAGGTAATTGTTTAGACCCATGAAGTGAGGTGTGGGGATAAAATACATGGTAGCCTCCTGCATGGAAAAAATGAAATGTGCAGCAATGACTCCTTCAGGCCTAAATTTCCTTCAAATTCTGCCACATCTAGAAAGCATCCAGGGCAGAATCTTGTTGCTATATAGTCAAATAACCCCCTGAGCTTTTCAGAAAATTACTCTTTTAATCGATAAGCTGCATGTTCTATTGTACATGCACTCACAGCTTATGGTTTACTTTGTATCTTAAAAATCAAGCTAAAAACTACATGGCAAAACAGATTTTTAAAAAGAATATATAATGGAAAAGAGCTGCTGGGAAGAAACGGTAATCATGCTGTGCAAGACAGGTCAAGACATATTTAGCAGTTACAGGGAGCTGGCACAAAGATGTCAGGTAACGCAGCACAATGACAGAAGCCAACATAATGATTTCAGTCATCTCTAGAGTAATTTTAGAAATAGACATTGTGGGCAATTTTCTTGAAGGAAGCAACCGGGGGGTGGGGTGGAGGAGGAGGAGAAGAGGGAGGAGGAGGAGGAGAAGCAGTAGCAACAGCAGCAAAATATATTACAGGATTTGGCCAGGAAACAAATTAGGTCAGTGAATTCTGTTAGGTCAGTGACTTTCCTTTTTTCCCCTTTTTGAACAACCAAAAGCCCCATTGCTACTGTAATAAACCTCTTTTGCCATTTATTGATTTGATTTATACCTTGTCTTTCCACGCACACAAACACACGCACCCAAACACACATGAACTCAAGGCTTGAGGTTCTGTCTCCTTCAGGAGTCATTTTTCCTGCAGCATGAAGGACATTCTGCTCAAGAAACAGAACTTCAAATGATAGTTTGTTGTTATGAACATGAGCAGAAGCAAGTCTCAAACGTTCCCTCCTCATTTTTACCCTTGCATGTGGAGAAATGTCCAAGAATTTGGTGTGTGCAAAAACTTCACAAATAGTTTTCAACTAGTAAGCTATAAGTATCTGTGTCTTTTTTATAATAGTGCTCTCTTCACAGTTTGCCATTTTCTACAGATGCAGAAAACTACGGTTTGTGTTAACTTGCCCTCTCCAAGTCTGAATCTCATTTAGGATTCTGGTTCGACAGCAAAAAAATTGTTTGTGCAAATCTCAAGATACTGCATTCAGAAGCAAAACCAAACATTGATTTGCTATGGACTAAATATGAGTGTATATATTTTAATTCACTTTTATTTGAATCAGGAGGCTGGCATGGTGCAAAATGAAGGGCCTCTCTCTAGCACCATTTTGTTTGGGTTCAAAATGGTGGTTTTGTGTTTCAAAGCTCAACCACTCACATTTGCTTAGGTTTTTGGGCAAGGTACTTTTCTTTTAGTCTCACTAATCTGCCATCTGCAAAATGAGTGTTTTCTGACTGGCCATTCCCAGCATGGCAGTCATGTTTTGAAAGTGCCGTGGCATTTTCTCAAAAATCCAGATGTGCCCACTGACCCAAACAGGTTGCTACCAATATAGCTTATTGCTGAGTCTCAGAATAATAGGGAACACCTTTGTTACATTTCCAGAAGCTATGATATGACCAGGTTTGCCTTAATAATGAACCTGGTAGCTGCAGAGGACTGGATGAAGGGCAGGGAAGTAGAGCAGCCATGCTGGCTTTGCAAGCCTTGGCATTGAGCTGGGCTGCTTCAGGCCTGTTTGGTCCAACAGGAGGAGTTAATTAAATGTAGGGGCCACTGCATTGCGAAGAACTCCTTGTGTCACATTAAGGAACAGGGCAGCGGTCTTAGTAGTTCAGTTGTGAGCCAGTTAACAATCACATGAAATTCCTATTGTGGATAGAAAGCTCAGGACATTATGCAATAGTTATTCAATATGCAGCATGCAGTGATGTATCTTGTATACCCTCACTATGAAGATATGGAGGAAATGTATCCTAACTAGCACATGAAAGCAATCATATGTCTCTTCCTTCTGCAGAACAATCAGGACCAAAATTAAGCTCCCAGCAGCTGCTGGAAGGCTTAGCAATCCCATCCAGTGTGGGGACCCTCTACATGTTATCCACAATAAATTTACATTTATTTAGATTTATTTATTTACATTATTTATATTATTGTAAATAAATTTACAATCTACCATAAAGGTTCTGAAGTACCTTTGACATTAGCAGAAGGAACTGAGACTGCTAGGTGGATACAAAACCCTAAAATCAGGGCCCGGATACTTGACTGTGTACTCTCTACATACTTAGTTGATTCCTTCCAAAGATGCCTTGTTAGAAGCTCCATGGCCACTACAGAGCCGCCAGGTAACAAATGAGCAGGTGGTCTTCTTTGCTCGTGGTGCCCACCTTCTGGAACACCTTCCCAAGACAGAAAGTGTAGTGATGTTTAAACACCTCTTGGCATGTTTGTTTACCCTGGCTTTCCCTGTCTTGTAATGTCTCACAATGTTTTTAATTATTTAGTCTGTTTATACTGTTTTACATTGGTTTTATATTGCATTGCATGTCTATTACAAACTCCTTAGATATTTTAGGATATTAAGCAGTATAAAAGTAGCATGTGTGCATATGTTGAAGAGTAAATAAAGTTGAACTACTCAATGAGAAAAAATCACGCCCTGCTGTTCAGGGCAGGTGTTGAGCAGTAAAGCACCTTCGACATTAGGAAGAAGGAGCTGAAAGAGTTGCACTGAATCCAGAGGTCAACTTAGCAGTAGGGATGGTAGTATAAATAGCCCTGCACATTTAGCTATGCAACCCGAAATTTTCCAGGTGCACTGGCCAAAACAGTTCAGGAGGTTGCAACCACTGGCAAAATGCTAATTGGTGGTACGCAGTCAATATTAAAATGAAGAAAGGTAGCACTATATTGACAGCCTGACATGTCAGTTATAAGCCTGTAATCTGAAATGTTTGTCTGCATCTGTCTTTCAGGAACTAGGAAGTGTATACAGTATCCTTGCTGCTATTTTAAATGTTGGTAATATTGAATTTTTGTCGGTGGTAACTGAGTACATGATTGACAAGAGCATCATTTCCAATCCAACGCCTCTTGAGAATTGTGAGCTTCTTTCCTGTTTATAATAATTAAACGCTGTTTGTAATTCACAGGGCAACCCTAGCCATGTCCACTTGGAAGTAAGCCTTGCTCAGTTTAATGGGTCTTGCTCCCAGGAAAGGTTGCATTGGACCATTTCCTAAATGAACTGTCGAGTTAATTATGAACCGTGGAATTACCCACGTCACACCAAAATGGCCTGTCGTTGCTTGTAAAGCTCTTCATATCCTGTTTCCAGTCTTATCAACCTTCACATGTTAAGACAGACTCCCCCAAGCTGCCATCTTATAGATATGTTGAGTTACAAGCCCCATTATCCCCAGACAGTGTGTCCATATACAAAGTTAAGTATCTGAAGTCTTGGAATGGAGGTAGACCCTTTTGTCTTGTGATCCTCGGTTTTAATGTTCTTTCCTAAGTAAAGCCTTCCTCTGTCTCCTAATCCAGCGTTTAGGAATAAAACAAAAATTTTAATGCCATGCACACTTGCAAGGGTGTCAGTCCCACAGAACTTAGCAGAGCTGACTTCTTAGTACATCTGCGAAGAATCACAAGGTCAACCTCCCCTTCCCCAGCATTTCATGTATGAAATTGCTTGTATGGTCCTGGTCAATTCATTGGTATAGAAATGGTCAAAATAAATTGGATCTGGACATATATAGGGTAGTGACACTGAAATAAATGAGACGGCACCTGCCATGTCTAAATTAAGTTTCCCTGATCTCAGTAGAACTACTTTTCAATGGATTTAACTCATTTTCTATGCTAGATTTGGGGGCATATTTAGGTTACTGCAACGTGCTTTATATATGGCTGCTCTTAAAAAGGATTGGGAAAGAGCAGCTCATACTAAATGCTGCAGACCAAGTGCTTTTTGGTATGAGTTTCATACCCCATGTTACCTGTGATCATTTAGAATGTGTCAGACATTTGGAGCAGGTCCCATAAAGCCCTTTATTTTTTGAATGTCAAGTTGACAAATAGGACTTGCAACCAAAATGTTGCACTGTAGAGTATTCCTATATCCTTGGCAGCAATGTCTTCTTGCAAGATAGTCCATATTCCAATTCCTTCCCCTCTCACACACACAGAAGGGGACGGGGAGGAATAGAGAGAGGCAGCACTCCGTTCCCGTTAGAGTATCCTCGGTTCTTACAGTCCTTGTTCCTTTTCCATTTTGTTCTGTTTTGTGTTGCTGCATACCTCTTTTGGTGTCCCTCCCAGCCTGCTGACACCTGCCTTTTTGTGTGGATGATGCCATTTTGCTAATGATCGATAATTGTGTTGGTTATTAGTATACACAAGAATCTTAGAAGTGCTATGTATATTAATTAATTGTTTTCTTGCTGCTTCTTCTATGGGTCAGCATGTTATGAATTCATCCCTCAAATGTCCTCAAGCTACATTACTGAAGTACGATTTTGCAAAACCTATCCATGCAGCATTTCTCTCCTTGACAAATCTGTGTGAGAGATAGACATTAACACCATGTCTTTGTTTTCCAGCTGCTTCCTTGCTTTGTATTCAGGCAGATGAGTTGCAAGAAGCATTAACCTCTCATTGTGTGGTGACCCGAGGGGAAACAATTATACGACCCAACACCATGGAGAAAGCGACTGACGTAAGAGATGCCATGGCCAAAGCGTTGTACGGGAGGCTTTTTAGTTGGATAGTCAACCGTATCAATGCACTGCTAAAGCCAGATACATTTTTAAGGTATGGAATTTTTTTCTTGTGGGAAATGGTATCTTGCCGTGATGTTTAGCCTTTTGTATGAGAACTCGGTAACCAGGAAATGCACTTCTTAGTGATAGAGATTACTAGTCATTTTGAAGCCTGGTAACATATTCCAATTTAAGCCCTCCTATAAAGTGCTAGAGCAAGCAGAGTAGAACAAGACTACCAGATGATTCATTTGCTACTGTGCTTCTTGGGCTTAGAGACCAGCAGTGCAAGCAGTTCAGCCTTACCTTCTCTCCCCCATAGGGTTACATTTACAGTCTTGGCTACACCCATCACTCTGTGCATCACCTCTTCTTCTATGCATCTCAGCAGGTGAACATCAAGAGTTGGCTTGCACATTGAAAAAGAGCACGTGACAATAGCTTGGAGCAGCATGTAATAGCTTATACCTGAGTAGGCTGTAAAGATGGTGTGGATCACCTGTCCAGCAGGTGTTTCTTTTGACTATTGACAGGGTGCAGAAATGTGGCCTGTGACCAGAGTGACCCCTCCGGTGCACTGTTCTGCAAGACGCAGCAGTTGCATGGATCAGCCGCCACAGGCCCGCTGTTTTGAGCTGTGCGTGCGCATCATTTGCAACCTGCAGGCCTGCTCTGAGGACACGCCGTGCATTGCTGCTGTGTTAGGGCAGACACTTTCCTGGGTGGTGATAATCTTGTGATAAGGGAGCAGGCACACAAGCGAATGAATGGAGCCACATGAAATATGAGGCTGCCTTCTCTGTGCCTGCCCAGGTTTTCAGATCTTCTCAGGAGGCCCTTCTCTTGGCTCCTGCACAATTAGAGGCAGAGTTTGTGGGAATTTGAGAGAGGGACTTCTTGGTGGCGACCCCCACATCCTGGAGCTCCTCCAGAGAGTTGCCCTCTCTCCCTGTGCTTTCACTATTCATTTGGGGTTGCTGCAAGTTCTGCTTTGCTGCTGTATGATCTGCTGCTTTTGGTCGTATGGTTGACTTTATTTTTTTATTTTTCTACTTATTCCAGTGTGTATTTAAACTATGTTTATGTTTATTTATTGTTAGTTGCCCAAAGAATGTTTATGTTATGGAAAACTTATGCATGTCATAAATTAGCAAAGGAATAAAATGTTGTTGTTAGTCGCAAAGTCATGTCCAACCCATCACAACCCCATGGACAATGTTCCTCCAGGCCTTCCTGTCCTCCACCATCCCCAGGAGTCCACCTAAGCTCACACCAACTGCTTCAGTGACTCCATCTAGCCACCTCATCCTCTGCCATCCCCTTCTTCTTTTGCCATCTATTGTTCCCAGATGGTTACAAATGGATACACCTACACCAGCGCACTTGAACGTGTGACACCACTTTTGCAAACGGCCTTGCCGCCTCCTACGTAACTCCCCTTTGAAGACACCCTCGGGATGATGTTGCAGTGGGGTCACATGTCTCGTGATTCAGCCCGCCTATATCGGGCATTCAAGTCCACTGAAAAGTAAACTTCAATTGATTTGGCCAGGAACAAAGTGACTGTGTGACTCAGCTATGGCTCTAAATTTAAATGTACCATGGCTGTCGGCTAAGGTTTCCATCTTCTCACTCAGCGGTTTATGAAGGAACTTTCTGCCACTTGGGGTAAAAAGAGAAAGCAAAGCAAGAAGGCAGTTGCTTTATCACTGATGCTATCTGAATTCAAGAAAAAATAGTTTCATTTCTGGTTAAAATGGTTTGACATGAGTATGATGCTATTCAGGCTTCATGCTAGCCCTTATTTTTCAGGATGAGGCCAGTTCCGCAACGCGAGAGCCTTCTGCCTTCGGATAAGTTGCTGCAGGGCAGTCTGTTTGTGTAAATGCAGATCTGCAAGGCAAATTTACCCATGGGATATGCAAATATTTACACACTATAGGAGCACTCTTTGCCCAGAAGCAAGGACAACTTGTCCTGCAGCCCCCTCTCTTTCAGAAACGAGGGCTTGCAATTAGGCTTGTGGCCTCTGACAAACTCCCCTATAGCACAGGATGCTTGGATCTGTCAGTCTCCCAAACCATCGCATAGCACTCCCAACTGTGCTAACTCAGGCATATTAGTTGCATCCTTGAAGTAGCTGCAGAGTTGAAGCTAATGCAGAATAACCAAGGGAGGCGATAACAGAATGCCCATGTTGTGCCTTTTCAGCGGAAGTAATGAAGGACTGAACATTGGAATTCTTGACATCTTTGGCTTTGAAAACTTCAAAAAGAATTCTTTTGAGCAGCTCTGTATCAACATTGCCAATGAGCAGATCCATTTTTACTTTAATCAACATGTCTTTGCATGGGAGCAGGTATGCACTATAATTTGTACGCATGCACATTTTGTTCCTTCATTGTATGCTGCTTTAATACAGCTTTTGTTTAAACGATGCTGCTAGATGAAGCAGATGTTCCATTTTAAAAGGGCACGAAAGCAAAACAGTGAATGTGGGCCTTCTCCCTTGTCAGTCTGCCTGGGCGCAGGTGTTCCCTCAGGTTTTGTGCAGCCCTGCAGGCCATCTACCTTCCAGTTGGCGTAGAGCTTTTAAGGGACGGGCTCCCTCTCTGTGCAACTCCATGTCAAGAAGGGGCTGAGTTTGCTCTGCTTTCAGCATCCGTGAAAGACCATTTTATTCAAACAAGGCTTTCCTGAACTACCAGCCACAGTTTTCTGGATATAACTTCACTTTAAAGTCTTTCATTCTTTTCTTTGTTGCTCCTCCATCTTCAGGAATCTTTTCTAGATAAAAAATAGTTTATAACTTTTGTACATAGCAAAATAAGTGTAACTATTTGTTGTTATTTTGTGTGATGAGCCAGTGTGGCGTAGTGGTGAAGAGCAGGGGACTGGGACTCAGGTGACCTGAATTCTAGTCTCCGCTCAGCCCTGGAGCCACCTGGGTGGCTTTGGACCAATCACAGACAGCCCAACTGACTTTGTAGGGTTGTTTATATTTGTTTATTTATTAAAAGCTTTTCTAATCCATCCACCACTAGTGTCAAGGGATGGCTTATAATAAAAACAAGCAGAATAAAACAAAACACAACACCATCCAACAACTGAAATACTAAAACCCCAGTTAAACCCAATTAAACATTAAAATGATGGGGAAATAAAAAGGGTTGTTGTTGTGGGCGTAAGAATGAGAGCAGGTAGAGGAGAAATATGTAAGCTGCTTTGAGTGGTTTAAAAGAAAAAGGTGGGATATAAATCAAATAAACAATCTTGTAGTAGAGGGCCTATTACATTTGTGTCTGCCTAGCCCTGCACACCAAAAGCCAGAGGAAAGGGTGTGCCATGCAGCCTCTTCTAAAACTGCATAAGGGTGTGGGACTCCCTGCTGCCGCCCTGGCATGTTACGAAGGGAGCTGGCCCGCAACTGTCGGTGCCATGGCCAGCCAGTGATGTGCCCCGATGGACACAGGCTCAGCAAGTGTGAGAAGGAGAGCTGCATCCAGAGCCAGAACACACCACCAGTGGAGTACGTAGCTGGTGAATGTGTGGGCAGGTTTGCAGGTAGGGTGCTGGCAGGTAAGACACTTCCCCATCCATGAACATCCCTAATTAGGGGGATGCCATTTTTTAATGCAAGAGGCTATAAGGTGAAGGAAGCAGCGTGATTAAAAAAGAGAACAAGTGTAAGTTGGGTCTTTCCAAACACAACAGATTCTGTGTAACAAAGATAAGCCCCAATTCTTTGGGAGATGCTCGTTCTTCCCGCTCTCACCAGCCAAAAGACAATAAAAATGCTTTGTTTAGATATGTTTCCTGTACAGTCACTTGATTGCTTGCTGCAATTTAAATGTCCATCTGAAAATGCATTAGCGGTCCCATTTATAGTATCCAGGCAACAGAACATGGTGATAATAGGCTTGATGCAAATGCGATGTTGTTTTGATGAAGAATAAGGTTTACAGTGTAATTTATGGCTCAGCACTGAAACAAAAATTTGTTGGAGGTGGTTCCAAACAAGTACTTACAAAGAATCTCTAAACATTAGAAAAAAATTAATAAACAGTAGTATTTTGTCAGGAAACCTAAAAACAGGTTTTCAAATGGAGTAGGGCAGGGATAAAAATGACCTCTTTTGTTCTATTTCAACCAGGAAGCTTGCTATCTAATTCAAAAGGTAGTGAATTTAATCTAGTAATACCGTGTCATTAATTCCTTTTAAGATGGGTGAAAAATAAGAGCATGCAATTATGATTATCATTATGATTTCATGTCCGTGCCACCCAATAGCTGAAGTTCTCCAGGCTGTTCACAGCAATTTGTAAAAAATACTAACCACAGTATTATTATTATTATTATTATTATTATTATTATTATTATTATTATAACATTTCTATGCCGCCCCTTGCCGAAACCTCGGGGCGGCTTACAACATGATAAAATACATTGAAATACAATAGTACATAATAAATTACCATTAAATATAACAATACAAAAAATACATTGATTTACAAATACAAAATTAAAATTATCAGTATAAAATAAAAATATAGGAGGAGAAAGAGAAGGAAGAAGAAGTTGCCCAGGCCAGATCATATGTTTTAACAATTGAAATGATGTTTAAATAAAAAGGTCTTTACCTGGCGCCAAAAAACCAGTAACGACGGTGCCATGCGGACCTCTTTGGGGAGTGAATTCCATAGGTTGGGCGCCACCGCAGAGAAAGCTCTCCTCCGGGTACTTACTCTCCTAATTTCTTTCATGGAGGGTTCCCGGAGAAGGGACTCTCCCGCAGATCTCAAAGGGCGGTCGGGCATATACGGACGTAAGCGCTCGTGCAGGTAGCCAGGACCCAAGCCGTTTAGGGCTTTGTAGGTCATAATCAACACCTTGAATTGGGCCCGGGCTTCAATGGGAAGCCAGTGAAGCTGATGGAGGACTGGAGTCATGTGAGCATAACGCCCTGTCCCCGTCAGCAACCTGGCAGCTCTATTTTGCAGTATGAAAACAGTATAAAATGACCATATATGAATTTAAAACAGACTTTAAATCTGAATGGCTAAAACAATGTTTCACATGGCTAGACCAAGATAAAAGCCCCCATGTGCCACTGAATGCTTTGGAAAAGATGACAGTCTTAACCTGACACCAAAAAGATAACGGACCTGACACCATGTGGGCCAGCACTGGAAAGGCCGCCCTCCAGACATAGCTGGCGCTCAAGAGGGAGGGCTCCACTGGCGTCCGGGCAGGTCCTGGTCAGGGGAGGTGCTGTGCCAGGTATTCTGGTTCCAACCATGTTACCAAAAAAAGATGAATTTGGAGGGCTAGTGGGTCAGCTTCAGGGTCCTATTAAAAGGCTTAAAAATGAAAATTTCACCATTTAAAATAGCCACAATACTTGTTTAGGACAATATTCTTTATGGGTGCCTCCACCCACCTCATCAGCCAAGGCACTGTAGCTTCTTACTGTGCAGGCACCCTCTCCAGCTCTGTGCATGGAGGTACCAGTTTAACCATTGCCTTGCTCACGCTCCAGAATCTGATTAGATGAGGAGCAATATGCCAAGCAGGGCAGAGAGAATTCAGTTTGAGAGAAGCTCTCAGCAGCTGCATTCCAGGGATGACCAGGGTTGGACATAATGGGGATGAGGCAAAAATACATATTTTGGCTAATAAATAAGTTTAGACGAATGGGAAAGAAATCACACAAAAGCTGGGAGACCAGCATATGATAATTGTGGTGGTGGTGAGGGGGAAGGAGAGACAAACAGAGCTACTCAGGAATGGCAGGTGGCCATCTGAGGAGCCAAGACTGGGCCCCAGCCAGACTGGATTTGCCCATTGAGCCTGAAGCTTAACCCAACTCCCATAATAAACCATGGGTTAGAGTATTCCTAATCAGTAGCCTAATCAAGGTATTTTTAATCTTTCCTTTAAATAAAATTCTATTTTTAACTTTGATCTTATTGTTAGCTGCTTTGAATATCTTTTTTTAGATGAAAGGATGGATGGATGGATAGAACTCATCCTTTCTGTTCCTCATTCATTACAATGGTAATGTTTAACTCTGAAGAAAATCAACTTCTTTGCAGCTTAATAATAATGGTTCTCCTACTTTACACTCTGCTAGAGCTAAATGTTGCTCAGGGGAATGAGAATATTGACATTTTTACTTGTAAGTTTAAAGCTAGCCCTAGGTCAGCAATCACTGGGTGTATGTATATATTTTAGAGATCTGACATCATTACCTCAAATCTTTGCATGGCCTATAAATCAGATGAACCAAATTAGACCCCATACATCAAATTAAAACAGGGAGGCAGTAAAAAGGATCACAGAGAGGGAAAACACTCAGGTCTTGTGAAGCAAAGCATTCTACCACCTGGATGCTTCCACAGGGAAGCCCTTCACCAAATGTACCTCCGCACAGAACCTCTGCAGCTGATCTTGAGGGGTTGGACAGGATTCTACAGAAGGAGACTGTCTTTTGGGTATTCATGGCCTGAAGTTTACAGGCCCCGTGGTTACACTGCAAAAAGCTAGTGACTAGTGACACCCTGTTGAAGAATAACAGGCAGCTGTTGAGGACATATGAAAAAAACAAACCCAAACATTGGTCACCAAAGACCAGATATTATGGCATCTCAGAGGACTCCTCTACAAGTTTCTTAAAGAGGCGGGCAATAACACTCCAAACCTCTTCACCACTTACTGAAGTGTCCTTCTCCTTGCAAGAGAAGGTGGGGACAGGTAGCTTTATTTAGGTGTTCAGAATCAGTTAAAACTTAAGAGGGCCTTGCCCACTCTCCATGGAGGACAGCATTCTGAAGAAGAGCCTCCTGAAACTGTTGAGGTTCTCCAACGAATTAAGAGTAGTATGGATGCTGAAGGGTCTCATCTTCAGACCATGGCCCTCTATGAATATAGGTCTTGGGAATGCATGGAGAGTGGGGCAGGGCTGGCGCACTCTCCTCCTCATACAAACAGCCTTCATGGATGGAGTGGGGCTGCTGTGGCAGCCATTTCATGCCGGTAGATCAGTAGGACTCTTGTCAAGCAGTACTTGGCTAAATATTTCTAAACGGGTATATTCCACTTTTCCGTACTTTGTCTTGCTTCTAGGGACATATTTATCCGCAAAATAGAGGGATGCTTTTTTTAACAATTATACCTCTTATGATCAAAACTGTATCAGTATGCAATACTTAATTGAAAGATTTTGGATAACAGAAGGGTCTCATTGGAAATGGACTTTAATTTTAAAATGAAGCAGTGACTGAAAATGTACAACAGGGCAGACATGTCTGAGGGATGTTGACAGCTATCTTCAGAGCATTTACACTAGGATAACATTGTTATCTTCCATGGGAAAACTCTGAAGTAAAATACTTCTAATTAATTTTTGTTGAGTTTCAAAATCTAAAACAAAAAAATGAAATATTTCAATTTTCTTACATGAAATTGGAGTGAATCCATTACAATGAATACTAGTATACTATGTAGCTTATGCATAGCAAAAGTACCCCTTTTACTAGGGATAATTATGGATAGAGTACACAATGGCAACCAAGATATCCATGTATTTGTCCATTTGTAGTTTATGCCTAATAACACCCATTCAAAAACTGAAAGCTTCATTAAGTCCTTAACCCACTGTGTTAAACAGGTTTGTCCTACCAGACTTGTAATATTAGTCTTTTAGCTGTGAAAGGGGCAGGGACTTTCATACTCCAATGGAATCTCATTTATGTTGAGCTTCCATTAAATTCCAAGAGTCAGACTGATAGTCAGATTGATAGTTACGTATATTACTATAGTTATGTGTATAGTTACATGCATATCCGTAAATATTCAAGAATTTTCCATCACAAAGTTTATCCATATTATTATCTCCCCAAAAGAAGCAGTCATTAGACATTGCCAAAACATTTCAGCAAGAATAAGATTAGCTGAATTACACTCCCATCAACTGGCCAAATTGGATAAACTCTTATTGAAAAATTGTTGTGGCAACCCATATACTTGAAACATCAGTTTTTGCTTAATTAACCATAACCTAAGATCCAGTACCTCTTCTGTGATAGATGCCAACAAAGCAATGCATTGACTAGGCAAAATCAGATACTCGTTGTTTCATTCTTGCTTAAGACTCAGTGTATCAGATTTATTCACCAATAATAGATATTTATAAACATAGATTGCAGTTTGTATAGTTGTTCAGTAAAAGGAGCTCTGAAGCTGTAAAAGCACCAGGGCCAAACCTAGATTCTAACAGACAATTCACTTGCCCAAATTGCCACTGGCTGCAGTTGGAAGGTCACATTTGGCAACCAAAGCAGTGGCAGAATGTTATCCCTGAGACCTACAACCTGATACAAAATAAAAAATCATACTCTCTGTCCAAGTCCACCAAACAGGCATTTTCTTGCCATTCTTTGAATCTGGTTCACTGTAGATTTAAATTTGTGTGCAAAAATAAATTGAATTGTCTGACAGTTAATTTTACCTTTATGCCACATTCAGCTCTCTGCTCCACAATTAGCACCTCTCTAGCTTTAACTTATTGCACTTCTCTACTTCCTGGAATTTCTTTTGAAATAAGGAAGGAAAATATAGAGAAAGGATGCACAGGCCAGGCCAGTGTCCAGAACCAGACTGTGTGGTCCAGCTGCCCAAGTAAAGTCACCTGCTCTTCTGTGCTTTGCATATACTTTGGGGTGGGGAACCTTCTTCCTGCTGAGGCAGCATTCCCTTGAGGGTGCTCTCTTGGGGCTGCCTGTGGTGGTGCATGGCAATGATGCCAAAAGTGAACAGTGCTACCACCTCTCTTTGTTCCTCTTCTTTTCTTTCGAACAACACCTACTCTGTCCACTCTCCCTCCCTGTCCAGCAGACTGCTGGAAAGGAATAGATTGTTCTCACCAGAGGCCTGAATTGCTCATCTTCTGTTACCCTGTCTGATTTGTCCAACCCCGCCCCCTGCCAGCCCATTTCTCTTATCATCGGTCAGAGCTGATTACTTGCAGAGGGTCATCTCTCAGTCCCTTTTTTTACTACTTAGCCTTTTTCAGCACCCTATTCCCAGCTCTTTTTCTTCCCACCACCATCTGGGCGGCCCCCTCCTACACAAAATTAGGCCAGAGGCTGCATTCATGGTTATATTTCTCTTTATGAAGTGGCATGGCAAGGTATATTTTCCCCATCTTTTACAGAATGAATACCTATACGAGGGCGTTGATGCACGAGTCATTGAATATGAGGATAACAGGCCCCTGCTGGATATGTTCTTGCAAAAACCAATGGGATTGTTGTCCCTGCTTGATGAGGAAAGCCGTTTTCCCCGGGCCACTGATCAGACACTCGTGGGTAAGCTCATGGCATTGGGAACCCATGTGTTACATTCCCTATTGAAGGCATTTGTCAATGACTCATGCATGGAAGTATTCAGATTTCAAAGCAGGGTTGCAGAGCTGTGGGAGAGCAGTGGAGATATGAGATGTCCCAATTCTTTTCTTTCTCTCCCCCGTCTTCCGGCCAGGTTGAGAGAGGCCTGAAATTCTATACACCCTTTCAACACGGAAAAAGAAATGTGGCCAGCACTGGGATGAGCAGCTGCTTGACTTCCAGTGGTCCACTTCACCTGCATCTCAGACTGTCCTCTCTTGGATGCTCCTCAGGCTGGATTGGGGAACCTGGCAAGCTGGAGGCTCTGAACCGAAGGGTGCTATTGCCACTTGTCACTTAGTTTATTAGAAAATGTCAAGTGTACCCATGCAGGTGATTAGCTACACCCATGGAAGGTGCTCACTTAGAAGGAAGACAAAATAGAGCCAGAAAATATGGAACTGTCTTGCTCAGCCTTGCCCAAAGCACTGAGAAATTCAAAGCACCCTTTCTAGAATCATTTCCTTCAGAGTACCATGAATCCACTGGTATTTTTTGAAAATATTTGCAATCTGAGAAAGAATTGGTGGGAAGAAGCAACAGTTGGCATAAAAATACATGACTCTAGTAAGCACAAGTCCATAGGTTTCTGTTATTACTTGTATGTTTCCCTTACAGAAAAATTTGAAGACAATCTGAAATCAAAATATTTCTGGAGACCAAAAAGAATAGACTTGACATTTGGGATTTACCATTATGCGGGGAAGGTAAGGAACAAATGCATCTTACTATTATTATTATTATTCCATTCCAACAACATGGGTTGGACCTAATGTCAATCTATTGCAAAAGTCCAAAGATTTAGTGTTACTTGGATTAAATAAAGTTGATTCCTGTATAAAACTCATTTAGACCCCTCCAAACATGTAGCAAATTAGAAACCTTCCTTTTGCATCATAGCAAAAACAAACAAACAAACACCAAACAGAACAGTCATGACATACTTTTAAAGACATTCATAAGTAACACAGCAACTAAGGCGGCCATCCAGTGTGGCTGTCCATTACTTTCTGAATGCAGAGGGTCACAGGCATCCAGTGGAAGGTGAGAGGAGTGCAGAGGCTGGGATTGTCTCTGTGTTCCCCTCACCTTCCAAAAGATTAAAGGGCCAGTTTCAGCCCCATCCCCACAAGAGTCAAGAGTGAAGCACTACCAGGATTCTTCAAAGGACAGTGGGACCTCACTCCTCCCCTCCAGGATTCCATCCCCAACAATCAGGCTCTGAAGACACTTCCCCATCTTCCAGGCCCAGACAGTGCAGAGTTAACTGTGGAAGCTGTGAGAACAGAGGGAGGGCCCTGCAAAGGTTTGATCCCAGGTGCATGAGACTCCAACCCCCAGACAGATTCAATGCCCCTCTGTGATTGGGAGGCCATAAGATTATGCCCCAAAACAAAGCAGTAAAACTGTGAATATGGAAACTGTCTGAAGTGACTCCTTTCTCCAATCCTTGAACAATTTTCCTTTTACTCTCACTGCATATAAAGTTACTTGGTGGGAAAGTCTGTTTATGCTTATGGGGCAAATAATTTCCCAGTTCCCCAAACTTTTAATTAGCAATAAACACAACATTCTCATAAATGCCTAACTTTTACTGCCCTCTTTTCTAAAAACAGGTTCTTTATAATGCAAGTGGGTTCCTAGCCAAAAACAGAGACACTTTACCAGCTGACATTGTCCTGCTCTTGCGATCCTCAGAAAACTACCTGACTAGACAGCTGGTGATCCACCCTCTTACAAAAACAGGTACTATGTTTTGCCAAACTCCTGTTGGCTTGGTCAGGTCCAATGCTTGTTGCTGCTGCCCAAGATAAGACCACTAGATTAGCAACCTTCCCCCTCCCCTTTAGAGGGAAGCAAGCATCTGCCATATTATTGACCACCATAGGAAGGGAGCAATGGATTGAAGGGGTTGTGGCCAGTGTGTTCTTTTCATCCGGGTGCTGGCACTGCAGTGTGATTTTCAGACTAAGTGGATCAGGCTCCTGCAGAAGTCCAGCGCCTCTACCGCAGCACCCTTGCATGGACCAGAGGAAAGGAACATTACAAAACAGCCTTAGTCCAAATCAGCGGTCCTGAAACATTTTGGGCTGCCCCCCTCTTTCCTCTTGCGAGACAATCCCAGCACCCCATGCCTCTTCCTTTGTATTAGGTCTATTGCTCTATTGCAAATTTAAAGCAACCAATCACCACTGCCCTGGATCTTTCCACCACCCCCAGGGGAGCAGTACTGCCCGCTGGGAATGACTGGTCTAAATTGAGCCTCTGATCTACCTAACTCAGTCTACTCCAGCCTCCCCTTTCTGGTGCCTTCCAGAGCTGTCAGACTGTAGTTCCCATTGTTCCTACCAACATAACCAGTGATCTGAAGTGATGAGAGTTGTAGCCCAAAATGCCTGGAGGGTACCCGGCTGGGGAAAACATTGCTTGCCAGTGGCTCTCTGAGGTTTCAGGGGCGAATTTTCCCCTTCCTTACCTGGAGATGTGAGGGATTGAACTGGGGACTTACTGCATGCCAAGCATGAGCTCTACAGCTGGCCCATGGTTCTGCTCTGAGGCTTGTTTGAAGGTGCACACTTAGTACTGCGTGCTAAGGAGGACTGTTAAAGCGCACCACTGCTCTGCATGAATAAAAGTGCATCCTGGAACATAACACATGAAGATTGCCACTTCTTTGTTGGTCCTGTTCCCATGCTTTTATCTGTTAAAGTTTAGCAATTTTCTGACATTCAGAAGCATTTGCTTCATCTAGGGATGAAATAAAATTAATCTTTATTTGCTTAATATCCAGTAGAATAATATGATGACAACCCTACATTCAACCCCTGTGCAGCTGTGTAGTTCAGGGGATAGTGGCCTTAGTTATGGCAAAAGGGCTTCCAAGAAAGATGATGAGCATCCTTTTAAGATCAGGTCTCAGCTGCAGCCCTGCTTCCCAGGCATGTTCAGGGTGTGATAAATTTGTATTATTCACAAACAACATGTACATAAAGCAGCACTTTTGAATATTTCTTGCTATTTACTCAAAGGTGGTATGAGAGCCACTGAAGAATATGCAATGTCCTTAATGCATAAGGACCTTTATCAGTAATTTTAGTTATTGCATTTGCCAATTATTTCAGTAACCAGCATATTATTAATTTTGCTTTTTTCCAAGTACCCAACTGCAAGGTTCATTTATATTTAAATTACATGTTGGTACTTCTTCTGGACTTGTAATGCAGATGCTGCTCTAAGAAGGCCTTTGGGACTGGAATCCTTTAGGTCAGGGGATTTTAAACTCCAGTTCAAAGTTATACCTGGAATCTCTCATGAAGTGCACAGTGTGGACCAGGCTTTGCTAGGTGAATTGCAAGGTGTAATGAAAGCCTTTTTGGCTGGAAATGGCATCTGGAGACAGCAGCTGTTCTGTTTCAGCCAGCCAACAGGGCCACAATAGTGTGATGTATCATTTCAGTTGAAAACCTGAAATAAAAATGCTTTCAGAGCCTGCCTAAATGGCAGCAGGGAAAAAGATGATTATACCTCCCAAGGTGTTGGCATGGGGATGGTAAAAATTTCTGGGATTATGGGATGAGACAAGCTGAAACTCAAAACTTAAATGTAGTTTCTCAAATACTTGCACTTAGAAATGTAAATACATTTAAATAGTGATGATGGGAGGCTCAGTACAGGTTCAGCCATTGGAAACCAGCACCCTTCTGAATGTCAGCACAGTGGCAAACCTTTGGCTGCTTGCCTGTTTAGGAGCCATGCCCAGTGGCGTCATTCTGCAAACTCAGAGAGCTCTCCCAGATCTTTCTATTGCGCAAGCAGTTGCACATTTTGATTGCATGACTGACTGTGCAAGCAGTTGCACAAAGGACCACACAACTGCTTGCAGAAGGGGCTGCACAATATGCAACCAGTGCCACAATGGATAGCCCAGGCGTAAGGCGTGCCCACGCAGTCAGCTGCGCTTCCGCAAACAGAACTTTAGTTGGATTCTCCTCTTAGTTCAGAACTTAGTACAACACCATTTGCACTGGTGGAATGGCAGTGGTGGCCCTATTTAGAGAGTGATCCTTTTTAGCCGGGTGTTTTGTTCCCTTTCTCCATAGGTAATTTGGCACATACTAAAAGCAAGAGTGCAATAAACTACCAGACATGGACTCCACAGAAATCAATCAACCAAATGAAGGTAGGAAACCCCATGGCAACTGTCCAACCCACCTATTAAAATAGACAAAGGGGATATTGTTGATGTAACTGAAAAAGGAAGCAAGTAACCCCTTCCTCGGTTTCTCTCCCTCTCTCCTATTTTCTTTTCTGTTTAGCTGGATATCTTTGTGTTGTGCAATTCGTATTCCTTCCGTGAGGTAAAAACCTGCATTTCCCTTCTTTCTGACTCTAGTATTATAACTTCTTCGGAGAAAGCTCAAGTAATTACTGTCTAACACTGTCTGTAGCTCTCATTGCTAGGCACACTTACTTGTAAGTATGTTGCATTCAATTCACAAGTGTCTTACAAGTAAAAGTATTCTGAAATGTAAAGAACGTTACATTAAAAAGAGAAACTACAAAGATGCTAACTTTGGAGTTCTGTAAGGTCTGTTAAAAACAATGATGGTAACAGGAATTATTATTATTATTATTATTGCAGGATGATAATTCCTGATCTAAAAAAGGAAACTAGATAACTATTTACACTGTCATTTATGACAAATATTTATATGCTCAGCTATCAAACTGTGCCCAGTACGTCTGTGTCTTCATGTGTGTGAATAGTGTGATAAGTATTGTAATGTAGCCAGTGTAACCAGCTTTAACTTCCCTAGTGGGTACTTGATAGCATCCGCAACTTAGGATGGGCATGTTTCTCTTTTAATTGTGTTCTTTTAAAGAGAATTTTGCTGAGAAGGTGCCATAAGCTTCAGATGCTGTACAGATAAGAAATCCCCCTTTTCTTTTTCTTGCTGCATATAGAACGAGCCGGAGGATTCCACGCATCATCCAAGAGAAACAACCAGTATGAAAACACAGACAGTTGCTTCATATTTCCGAGTAAGGCCTTAGCTCTCCTTGGTTTTTTGATACATTTGCTTGATGCAGCAATGAAGGATTCATTTCCTGATTCTTTCCCCCTTCTCTCTAAATGCATCTCTTCTGCTACTTCTTAGGTGGGAGGATGCAACATGGTATTTATGAGCATCCACATGCTCCCATGGTCCTTCCTTGATGGCCTTTGAGGCATGCTACTCCCTTCAGTTTTTATTATAAAAATTATATAACTATAGAAATAGTTATATATTTTGTTTCTTGCAGCTGGGACTGCTCCAAAGCAGGTTGCTCTGCTCTTTTTGCAGGGCTGTCTTTTTTCATTCCTGGGTGTGGTTTCATTCCCAATCATACTGACAATTTCCCCTTCTCTCACAGAAGCTAAACTGGAAACTGTTTCTATCCCTGTGCTGCTTCACCACCTTAGCTAACTGGGAATCAGAGGCTTCACTGCCACAAGCAAACTACAATCTTGTGGGCATTACTGGTTGAACAGATCCCACCTTATATGAATTGCAGAAATCCAGGGGGACAGCTGGGTTTAGTTAATTATATTTCATATTCATAATGCCACTGAAAGGTGTTCCTGCCAAATCTTTGATCAGGCCCATTGTCCAAGCTAGTTGAAGTTTGCCATTATGTCATTGATAGTATTTTAGTTCTGTAGTGCCTGCTGAAATTGTAATTGTACATTCAAGGAGTGCAGTAAGATGGTCTTTGAATTTACATTTGAATAATGCACCATCAAACAGTAATACACTATGGCTGTTATATTCTGTTGAGTCACCCTGTATTGCACAATTAGTTTCTCTGTTTTGAATAAGAATCAGCATTAAAGCCATTCTGCAGAACACCTGTCAGAACGCCGCTTTATGCTGCAACTGCCATTAACAATTTCTTGCCAATAGGCAATTACATTTCCACCTGCTAATTAGGGCAGCAGAGTTGGCAGTGGGCACGCCATAGGTGCCATTTTCAGTGTTTCGTTTCAAGGCATAGGATGTGACAAAATAGCATTAAGAATCCTGAGCATTAAAATCCTGATCTCTGTGTCTTTAAGCATAAAAGTACGCAAGCAAGGAACAGGTTTTAAAAGTAACAGTTTGGGAGCTAACCAAACTTCGTCACGATTATCTATAGGAAATGTGGGTGGTAAGCTACAAGAACAACTTGCAGGAGACCGTTGAAAACCTCCACTGCAATTTACAGCATTTACCTTCACACATTTCAGAATTGTTCAAGAGGACAGTTCAGTTCATAAAGCAACTCAAGGATTTACAACCTTATTTGCCGGAAAAGTCAGGAAAATGTATGAGCTCAATCCCTCTGAATAAGCAAGAAGCTCATAAGCAACTTATTTGAAGAAGCCTCTTCTTACACAATGCATTTATTTGTTTGATAAATAAACAAATCAATCCCGTAATTTCTGCCACTGAAGTTCCAGAGGTAGCAAGCCTTGCTTATTGAATCTAGGATCATGTTGCAGCTGAAGCCATCGACTAATAATGGAATTCTGTGCCTTTGTCATATTGAAGGGACCTTTCAAATTCAGCCTGTGGTAAAGCAGAAGAGGTATTGGGATGGATAACTGGAAGAAATATAGTATGATTCCAAGACCCATTTCATCCTACCATCACATATACTTTCAAGGCAAGATAGAGCATGTTAAACAAATTTAAATAAGTGTTTCCTATTATTCTAGCATACCCCAGTGTAGATTAATCATGTGAATTTCACATGTGGACTCTGCCAATTCAGCAATCTTGCCAAATTCCCTTTTTGAAAGGATTCTTTCATCCTAATGTATTGGAGGTTTCAATTAGTATTTTGTCCAGCTTTGCTCTTACAATATATCACCAACTAAACTTAGATATTTGACCCTTTTCATTCTGGTATTGTTTAAGGATTATCAATATTAGTGGATGACAATAAAGAACTCTGCTCCTAGTGCAAGAAGAATAGGTCACTGCATTTTTGAGAATATAGAACTAAAGTTGTTGCCACATCCTTTCTATGGTCTGTATGCACAGTTTTAATCAGATGCCTTCAATATTGTGTAATTTCCAACACCAACCGTGGGGAAGCCCATAATCTCATTAGGTCACGGTAAAAATTAAACTAGATTGGCAGTAATACAAACTTGGCAAAACTCTTACTTGCAAGGAGGGAGGCATAGGTACAGGTACAGAAACATATATGTTCCAATATTTCTTCCCATATCTCCTTTCAGTACTCATTAATGGATTTACTATCTAAAATGGTGGTTGGCCAGCCTCACTTTGTCCGTTGCATTAAGCCAAACAACGATCGGCAGGCACACAAGTATGACAAAGAAAAAGTGTTGGTTCAGCTGCGCTACACCGGAATTCTAGAAACGGCACGGATTCGGAGGCAGGGTTATTCTCATCGGATTCTTTTTGCTAACTTCATTGAACGGTATGCCCTTTACAGGTGGTTTTTGTAGATAAGGGATAGTTTTGCCCCACTCTCAGTTTAGTATTGAAGTTCTCTGCAGGCAAACATTCAACCTAATATTGCTGTACAGATTTTTCTGCACTAGATTATTGTTCATTGGAAAACTATGTGAAACTGACTTCACTGAGAAGTATTCTGTATAGGATAATGAAAATATTGTCTCTGTGATGTTAAGATTATACACCAAGAGGTATCAGGATGCCTGTTCTCTAGTGTTTTAAAGTGAGTATCCATGTGAACATGGTTGCATGATATAGTTAACATTCAAATCTCTGAAATGTTCTTTATTTTATTTGGCATTTTACAGTTTTTAAGCTTGACTTTGAAGAATCAGGATGAAAAACAAAAATGATAGGAGGATTTTAAGTTTGGATACATTGGAATCCATATTGTCTATAAAAGTACTAGTTCAAAGAGCGGCTGCTAGCAGGCTCCCCATGCCAAAAACTTGCTTCCTGTGCAAAATCAATATGCTGAGGATTGTTTGCCTCTCTGGTCTGGTATGCTTAAATAACAAAGAATTTTGTGGCTTCTGAAAGACCAACACATTTTATTAGTTTTCTATACACAATGTTTTGTTTTGATATTGGAGAGCAGGCTGACATTCTTCACCTACATGCTGAAATGGTACAGTTCCAAGAAGGCTGTTGCAAATGGTTTTTCTGAATGGATGAATCAGCTCACCTAATTAAGCCAGGCTGGAGCCCTATGAATGCTAGACAGTAAAAAAAAAAAGTCCTACGATTGCTTGTATTCCCCAGGACATTTTTCTTTCTAAACATGGATAGGATTGTGCCCTTGAAAGCTTGGACGCTTTGTGGCAATTGTTATCTCGGCTGCTTTTCTGTGGACCCATGGCTTTGGAAAGCCTTTTAGCTTGAAGTCTAAAGGTCATATATAGAAATTCACAGGGGCTCTGAGCATTTCAGTTCATTTGTACAAAAATCAGATAAAAGCTAACTGATCAGCACTAAATGTTTTCTTTAAGTGCAATATAAAGAAATAGGTTCTCTCACTCTCTTTCCTAGATACTATCTACTGTGTTACAAATCAAATGATACCCCCCCTGTAAGCCCTGAAACTTGCGCTGCCATCTTGGAAAGAGCCCAGCTTGATAACTGGATCCTTGGGAAAACTAAGGTAGTATCTTCTCACACTGGGCACAGTCCACCAGGAGCAGATTGCATTCAAGAAAATGGGGTGCAATGAATGTATTTTATTGTGCTGTGGTTTGCAAAAAAAGAGCAGCCTTTTGAGCAAATCTGGTTTCCAGTATGAATGGGGATTCCTATGTCTTGCTCTAGCTAGAGGATCCAATACCCATAATAACATGACTCCAGAAATCCAAAAATCCTTGTCCACTTCACAGATCCTTCCACGCCCCCAGTACTACCTATTGTTGCCACAGTCTTTGCCTCTATATTGTCACAGGAGATCAAGGAGAGGGGGCCAGTAAAAGACAGTTCAGTCTTGGTTCCATCAAGGCCAGAGTAACAGCCCGCTTCTGTGTAGCATCGTATTAAGCAGCCAAGGTACTTCTTTCTCCCCAATTTCCCATTGCAGAAGACAAGGAGTGCGGGTGCACTATTTGCTCTTATCAGTCCAGTGAGCCCTTACCTTCCATAAAGGGTTATCTTATACCCTAGGGATGACACATGGTTCAGGGATAAAGCGCGTTTTGCATGCAAAGTTCCCAGTTTGAGATCTTCTAGGAAGGGCAGGAAAAGCTCCTGCCTGACACCCTTGAGAGCTACTCCCAGTGTGTGTGTCAAAGGGGAGGGTAAATGTTAAGTAAACCAAAAAAATTGTCCGAACTCAGACAGATGCTGGGAGTTTGAAACAGAATTCAGTTCTGTTGTCCTCAGTGGCATCTATACTATTGGATGCATCTATATGGTTTTCCCAGTCTGGTGTCCACCAGATGTGTTGGTTTATAACTCCTTTCTGCCCCACCAACATGCCCAGTGGCCAAGAATAATGGGAATTTTATTTCAAAACATTGGGGTAGCACCAGGGTGTATGGGCTGTTCCAGAAGAAGACCTGCCCAGAGTCAGTAAGTTTGTTTGTACAGCCTGAAGCCAGTTGTCTCTGGAATCCTGTCTTATTCTGTACCTTGGCCTGCAGCCCAGCCACTTCCACTTTGAAGTTATTCACTAGAGTGACTGCCAAACAAACCAGGCTTACTTAATGTGGCACCCAAATTGGTTTCATGGCTTGTCACTCTTGAACAAACCAGGAATTGTAAGCCAAGAGCAGAGCTAGCTGTGCAATTCTGACTTGGAAAAAGACTTGTGACAAACCATAGTGAACAAACCATGAAGGTCCCAATACTAGGAAAAAGCAAAGACAGTGCAACTAATGCATGATAGGCCAGGATTCCAGAGCATTCTGTCTTAGTCTGGTGGTGCTCCACCACTACAATCAAATCCGAGGGAAGATGGCCTATAACTTTAGATCTATAGCTCAGTGGAAAGAATGCATGGGGTGAAGCAAGTTTTTAAAGGAATAGAAAATATAAATGCAAGCCAGAGTCTTCTGGAATAAGGGCCATCTTTGGAGGCAGTTTAATGTATCCAAAAGCTGGAGACAAGCTGATGGTACAAGAGAAGGAGCATCCTTTCTGTATGCTTGTTTAATTTATTTTCAGCATTTATTTGTATAAGCTTGTCCCTGCTCATTTCGAAATGCCTTGGCATATACTGAATATTCATCATTCACATATTTCTGAGAATGTGTTTCGCCACTTGCATTCCTTCTGGTTTTGGTGCTGCCCTTTTTGATTTTGCTTGCTGTAATTCAGTAGAAAACGTCAGCTTCAAAATGGTCTCATAGACATTCAGCCACCCTGGAATTAAAATTCTTGGGCTTCTCAGTAGTTTCCCTGGACTAATCAGTCCAAGATTGCCAGAGATCTGAAAAACTATATTCCTCTTCTTTTAAACTGTGGAAGCCTCAATATTGACAATGTCATCTATGAAAGCAAGTGTCTTAATTCTATAACATGTAGTCTTTTTTTAAAAAAGGTGTTTCTTAAGTACTACCATGTAGAGCAGCTCAACTTAATGCGAAAGGAGACAATCAACAGGATTGTTTTGATTCAAGCATATGTCAGAGGATGGCTTGGTTCAAAAAGATACAGAAAACTAAAGGAGAAAAGAGAAGGAAGTGCAATTAAAATACAATCAGGTAATAGTCTGAATTAATATATAATTATGTGTGCATATAAGGTCTGCGGTGTATGTGTGTGAGTGTCTAGATATCAAATAAGACAATCAGATGTAAAATAAGAGATGGTTCTGCTGTTTCTAATCTTTGCATATTATCCAGTTATATCATGTTTACCTTGCTTTATTTTAGGATAATGTAAGCCATCTTAAGTGGGTGCTTAGCCTAAAAATGTGGGAGATAAATGTTCATATAAGCCAATGAATAAAACATAGAGTCAAATCTACAGAGCCTTGAACTTGTGGTCTGAAGAGAGAGATCTAGCACACTTGCCAAGAAGAATTCCTCACACCAATATGCTTGGGAGGACAGGTGATACTGTCAACTCCTTTCAACAACCCCGAGTCACCAGCATAATGATCCTGCCAACAGCAGCTTGGAGAATCTGTTGCTCTTGCCGTCTAGGGACAGCGTTTATTCTGCTTCTCTCTGCCTTTCCCTCACTCAGCATCAGTATTAGCGGATCCTTTTGCCCCTTTAAGGTGTTTGCCTCGTATACGTTACCTTATAGTTCTGGTCGAAGTTATTATCTGGCCAATACACTTCTGAAAAGTAGACTTTCTCAACTGAAAAATGCCTAATACTAAATGATTGGCACTAGAGCTCTACTAGAGGAGAGCTCTTTGGCAATGATGCCAAATGAACCTGAACAAATGTAAAATAGGAGTGATCCAAGGTGATAATGAAACAGTCAGCTGGTCACCCATATGAAGAACTTTTGCTCAACATGCAAGCATCTTCATGGCTGTGTTTAAAGCTATTCATGCATTTAGTATAATGAATGGCAATTTGATCTGGTAAAAGGACATAGTCCAATCTAGAAGCTGTTGAGATAGTCATAGCAAGAAATGTGTCCCAAGCAAAGAGCTGAAACCCCAACCTTGAAATGTCCTTCCATTCTTACAGGTAGTGCAGTTCTTTCCATGACAGCTGCGGCTCCGAAGTTAGAAGGCCACCTTGGGCTAGCATTGGGAGGTGGGAGGGTGGGGTGTGGGAGTGGGGAGTAGGGCTTTGTTAGGTTATGATATGCTGTAGTGGAGCCTCAGTGTCTCCTCCTCATGGCAAAACACTTAGATGGCCAAAATCAGCCATCCAAATGTTTTCCGGGGTAGGAGAAGCATGAAGGTCATCTTTGCCTCGATACTCCTTCTGTCTTCTATCAGAACCTTGTGATCCTCAAAATTCCCCCAACTTGGATTGTGCTGTAAGAATTGAACTTTGATTCTATTAAAACAAATGGAACTGGTTTAATAACAAAGTAATTGCAATTCTTTAGTCCACATTTCTAGCATAGAATGCTGTTTTTTCTGTTGGGTTGAGCCAATTTGTGCTTTTGAGTCATCACCTTGGAAACTGCCACAAGATCCCATTTTCATTGCATATCCTAAACACTCTTCATTTTCCCTCCAGGTAGGAATGCAGCAGTAGTTAAGCAAACAAAAAAAATCACAACAACTTACTTTCAAAGTTATTACCATCTTCTTTAGCTTACAGGGGATATGTCATTCGCAAAGAGTATGCAAGTGCAAGGGATGCATACAAAATGGAAGTGTGCATTACTAGACTTCAGGCTGGTAAGAATTGATATTTTGAGTCCCTTAAACTTTTACTGAAGGCATGCACATAATTCTTGTGTGTGGATATGTATTTAAATTATTGGGAAGAGATCAGCAGCCTTTGTTTTTAATTCAGCTTCTCTAACCTGGTGTCCTTCAGAAGTTTGGAGCTGCATTTCTTATCATCCCTGATCACTGGCCATGAAGGCAGGGGATGATGAAAGTTGTAGTCTAAGCCATCTGGAAGGCACCAGACTGGGGAAGCCTGGTTTAATGTGTTTCTGCCTCAGAGAGCCACAGGGATTTGTTAAGCAGTAGCTGAGAACAAGAAGTTGGAATCAAATCAAGGGGGGCAACCAGGAAGTCAGAGCCAGAAAACCTTAACGTTGCCCAGGAAAAGTCCTTGCCTGAATAGGAAATGTCATGCCCTTCCTGCTGAGGACAAGCAGCGGCCTGCAGGGGCAAAACTACTCCAGTTCTAGGAACTCTACTATGTGGGAAAGGCTCCACCCTAATATTCTGGAACCTCAGCAGAAGGGGCACAGTGAACTAAGGCTTTCCCTCCAGTGACTCCTGGCAGTTCTCTTGTTTGGAAGTGCGATGGTGTTTTGTGCCTCCACCTTCCCTTTTTGCGTGGTCTGGTATGTTGTGCAGAGGCTGCATGTTCAAGAGCAGGTGGCTCTTCCAGATGGAAACGTTTGGTTCATGAGAGTGAAATGCATTCAGAGGTAGACCTCAGAGAGTTTCTGGTAGAGCTTGGTAGGTGGCCAAGGTGGTTCTGATGAGTGAGGCTGCAGAATGGAATGACAGGGCAGGAATAATCAGTAGGGTCTGTAAGCAGCATACCCGTCCATCCCTTGTTTCGCAAAGATTATTCACAAGAAGGAAAATGTGATATGGAGCAGGAAGGGACATGGGGAGCTGTTGAGCAAAGAGAAAAGCCAGTGAAACCAACCTGAGTCCAGGAAAGCAGCATGAACCTAGAACCCAGTCTTTTCGCTCTTCCCTTGGTGCTCCTTCCCTTGATTGAAATGCTGGCTCTTACAAGTCTTGCTTTCTTCATGTTCCTATGGACAAGAAGAAAAACAGTTACCTATTTTCTCTCTGGATTAGTCAGATCTGTAGATGGTACATGTTACTGAAAGATGTGGCAGGATCCTTAATTGTAAGAATGAAGCTATTATTTCACAGGAGGGGGTTTGATGTTTGAGAGCTCCTCTATTGAAAACTCTCTCCACAAGTAGAAAATTAGCACATCAGAGAGTGAGACTAGAAAAGAACCTCCCCACCCAAAATACAAATGTGCTGTTTTATTTGCTGAGTATTTGTAGGAGAGAGCATTCCTTTTCTTCACTCTACCATGTCAAGACTTGTCCCTCTCACTCTGCTGCATCTGTAGACCAAATCACTTGATGTAGTGAATGGGCTAAATAATTCCAACTCTGCGGGAGGGGATTGAACATATTTCAGGTAAACAAGCAATTATGTAAGAGGACCTTCCCATAAAACAGCCCTCCATTTCGGAGAAGTTGGACAAATTGTTAGCCCACAGAAATACAGCTTATGAAAAGACCCCTTAGCAGTTATTGGGTTGCATAAATTCACCCCCCAACCCTGTGGTCACAGTGTGGCCATTTAATACTTTTGGTTTATGGCATTTAAAAAAAGTTTTATTGTTGTTATTATTTGTCAGTGGCAAGAGGATACTTAATCAGGAAGAAGATTAAAGAAGAAATGGATGCAAATCATAAAGCAGCAACAACAATTCAATCTCACTACAGGGGATACAAGCAGAGAAGAAGTTTTAAAAGGAAAAGGTATTGTTTGCTTTGTTATTATGATTGTTCCATTAAATACCATCTCCACTTGCAATAAAATATAGCCAGAAAGTAGCAATATATCCTAGACCATGACAAACTGCAGTCTTCCATGCGGCCAGGGTGAGAGATATCTCATCATATTAACCGTTTTCAGTAGACATTTCATGGAAGGGTATGTGATTTCCATTAAAAACACTGAAGGCAAATAAATAAAAATTCCACTACTAACTCTGTATCCACATCTGATTTCAAAAGGGATTTGGTGGCTGTAAGTCCATGTATGTTGTATTTCTGACTCTATTTGTTAAGGAACCAAGAATGTTTTTAAAAAGCCAAGGTTGGATATTATACAGATGTTGAGAGTCCAACCTTGACTTTTTAAAAACATTCTTGGTCTGCAATTGAGATGAAGGAATTGTCTGGCTAGGGTGGAAGGCTAGATTGGAATGAAGGTCTAGGCCAAAAAAGGATTTCTGGAACAACAGAGACACTTTGGCCCATTCCCATAACTGGATAGTTGATCCTAAAATTCCTCAGATATCTCAAATAAACAACAACTTGCATGAATATGATGGTATCTCATAAGTAAGCTACTTATTTGACTTCAGTCAGAGTGTACTGACTTGAGTAATTTGTTAGTGAATGCTTTGTAAGCCATCAAAATGGCTGAGTTGGAGATACAGAAGAATAGTACTCTTCAGATGTCTGTATCTTCATTTTTCAGCCCCTGTTGTCTGCTGTAAGCAGAATAAGAATAAAAACAAGCTTCTATGGTTTTTCTTTTTAAAAAATTCTTCCCACTGACATGTTAATGTGTCCACAGTGCCCTGAGGGCTCTTGTAAGGTTATAACAGCTGTCTCCTGTACTATCTCCTAAATGTGTCTGTTTCAGGGAATCACTTCTCAGGAAGGAACAACCTGAAACAGCAGCTAGTCCAAGCAAGGAAGAAAATGGTGAACAAATGCCAGAGTCTGAAGCTTGTTCAGCTGTTGAACAAAACCATCCTCGTACTGAAGTGGAGGCTGCTATTATTCTTCAGAGTAACTACCGGGGCTACAGAGAGCGGAAAAAGGTCAAAGAGCGGTGCCAGAAAACGGGGTGTGCGGATGCTGTAGAGAGCTCATCGTCAGAGGCTGAGTGTGATGCAGCTCCTGTACAGAAGGCCCTTCCTCATACAGAAGAGGAAGCTGCTGTTATCCTACAGAGCAACTACCGTGGTTACAGAGAGCGTCAAAGGGTAAAGGAGCAGTGCAAGACTATTGGCAGTGAAGAAGTTGCCCAGAGCTCACCTGCAGAGGTCGAGGGTGGTGCTGCAGAAAAGTCTTCTGCTCCAACTGAAGAGGAAGCTGCTGTTATTCTTCAGAGCAACTACCGGGGTTACAGAGAGCGTAAAAGGGTAAAGGAACAGTGCTGTAAGAAAATACCCAAGCAAGTACCAGCTTCAGTGCAATTGGCCCCACAAAATGTTCAGAACAGAACACAGGAAGCAGAAGCTGACACGGACCAAAACAATACGGCTCTTCCTCAGGACATCTCCTACCTGGATCACAAGACACTGGGGGAGAAAAAAGAGATGCTGCCCCAGGGAAAAGGTTCTTCAGTGAAGCACAAGCTTCCAGAGGAAGACAAAAAACAAGCCACTTCCAATCGCTTGTCTAAGAAAGCATCTGTCAAAAAAGTCAATGAACTTAGCCAGCAGGCTCCTCAGGAAAGAAGCAGTGCAGGAGAAAAACAGCAGGCTTCCATTGTTCCCCATGATAGCCACCTGGAAAGAGGGTCTCGGAAACAGGGCCAGTTAATTCCCAGTGAAAACAAAGCCAGTCTAAGGAAAGGCTCTGTGAGAGGCTTTCAGAAACATATTGAAGCCAGCAAACCAGCCTCAGCAGACAAAGAGAAGGCAGCATTAGTCATCCAGAGCAATTACCGAGGGTATCGCAGACGGGGACAGCTCCGAAAAGAAGGGAAGTTGCCTTGTGAGAGCCAGGAGAGCACCCACGGTGACCCAAAAGCTGGTGGAGGGCCCAGTCAAAGTCCTGGTTCTAAGGCAACAACAAAAGGGAGGCAGAGCTTTGGCCCTCAGGCTGGGGACCCGAAGGAGCGGCCTTACACGGAGAGGTCTGACTTGGCAGCTTTCTCCAGGCAGGTAAGAAATTTGGGGAGTAAATGTGCTTCTGTTGCTCACCCTTAAGGAATAAGCTGCAGGTACAGTTTGCATTAAGTGACAGTTCACTGAAAACGCATGCACTGAATCACACCATCTTAGACCACAGAATAATAATATCCTATTTTTAAACGTAGCAGGAAGGATTTGCTACACTGTAAGCATTTATGAAGGATTTTGAGATAGCTATAAAAGCAGATTTTTCTGCACAGAAAAGCATTTGTTTGCATTCTCCTGTCATGCCTTGGCTTTGCCTTTTAACATGCCTTTCTTCTCCCTGTATGTTTTCCCCCTAGATCTCAAAACTATCAGAAGACTATCTGGTGCTTCAGCAGAAACTGAATGAAATGATTCTGTCACATCAACTGAGGCCTGTGATGCTCTCCAAAGACAAGCAACCCAATAGCCACCTTGCCCCTCGTGTGTGTCAGCCTGGTAACGAAACTCTATCTCCTTCCGTAAAGAGAGCGTTTCTTTGGCTCAGGGGGACATCCTGCGCTCACGGCTGCTTCTGTGGCTCAGACAGCATTGCTTTGTGGTCATGGGGGAGCCCCATGCATGGGAAGGTGAAGCTTTACACCAGTAAGAAAGCCAGGGTGGAGGAGTGGCAGGAGTGTTGGGCTAGGACTGAGGAGGTCCACATCTCGCCCAAGAAGCCCACTTCGTGACCTTGGGCCTGCCACTGAGTCATGCTGAGCTACCTTCCAGGGCCTTCCTGAGGATAAAATGGAGAGATTCCTTGCAAGAGGAAAAAAAGAGGGATGAAAATGCAATCATCCTCATCTCCGAAATCAATGAGGCAGAAGAATCCCAAAGGCCATCCAATCCAACCTGTTACCTTAAAGATGGGACCTTCTGCCATCTCTGTTCAAGCCCACCTGGGACAACAAGGTGCAGTGTGTCCTAGAGTGCAGGTCCATTGTGGGTGGGTGTCAGCAAACTGATAACCTCAGATGAATCTAACAAGGAAATCAAGGCATGTGTAGAAAAAAGGCTTAGAGAAAAGGTCCAATTCATACCAATGGGACCATTTTTTCTAAATCTGGTTACAGCAGAGGGGAGGGGAAAGGACATCCACATGAGCTTTTTATTTATTGGACAGAGTTATATGCTGCTTACTAGACTTAAATACTTATTTCTAAGATGCCTTCTGTCCAAAATTGCCCTAACCACATTAAGCATACACAAATGGAAGAAAATGACCAGCCCCATTCTTTGCCCCTGTTTGGCTCCACCCTTACCCACAGCTGACTCCAGCCTAATCCCAGCCTAGATCCTCCCAAAGAGCTAAGTTACTATTGCTCTTGCAATTAAAAAGGTTCCCTGTCCAAGAAGGGAATCAGGGCAGCTGAACCAAGCCATTACGAGGAGTGGACATGCATATCATCTAAGTGCTATTGAGCACGGACTGCCATTGCCATCAAGTGAGTCATGTCAAGCTCCTCAGTTCTTTTGAAAACTGCAGTTTACCTGCTTGGTCTCTTAACTTCTCCTAAGTGTGTTCCTGACATCAAAACTGAAAAGGATGCTGGATTAAAAGTTTGCCTTCACTGTCTCGGCCACTCCTCCACCTTGACCGTACCTGGTTTCTCCTGTTCATGAGCTGAAATGTTAAGCTGGATTCTGGTCAAAGTCTAAGAGAGGCCTGACAGCATGAGTGGTGCTTCTTAGCTAATATGGATTAACGGTTCAGAGATGAGTTCAGGAAGTAACAAATCCCTCTCATTACAGAACACTCATGAGAGAGGCTAGAGCAAAGACAGCTGCACCTACATTTCCTCTTCTTTCCATTCATATAGGATTGGAAATGGGGAAAAAAGATGCAAAGCACTTAGTGCTTGGAAATCTTAAGTGTGGGATGAGTCACTGGTGACATCAGTCCTGCAGGCTTGCAGGTCTGAAATGGGCAATTCTAGAAATCTGCTTTAAATCCCACAGTTGGGGGACACCCAATATGGATCCCATCGCGCAGTGTTGTCTTTTGGGATAAATGTAAATGCAGCTATCCAGCGACATGGCTTATGCAGTGTAGTGGTTAAGAGCGTGGAACCGGGACTAAGACAATCTGGGTTCTAGTCCCGCTCAACCATGGAGCCACTCTGGGCCACTCACAGACTCTCAGCCAAACCTTCCTCATAGGGTTGTTGTTGCTGTGGGAATAAAATTAAGAGCAGCAGGATGATGTAAGCTACTTTGAGATCTTTAAAAAAGAAGGCAGGAGAGAAATCAAATAAATAAATACTACATGGTTACATACTGATGTACTCTTAACATAATGAAATATTTAAGCAGTAAACATACACATATGAAATCATGATTTCTATTACATTATTGAAATAATTTCAGGTACAGTAACAATAAAAGGCAATATGAAGAATAATGAGATGGCACAGCCTAGTAACTCCAATTAATTATAAGACACAAAATGCCTAAGTGAAGCTAGTGGTTTGTTTGTGTTTTTCCTCAGGAGACATTTAAAACGCACCACATTTTCTGCTTCCCAAAATGTGTGGGGGAGAGTGTTCCAGAGCATGGGCAGTGTCACCAAGAAACCTCATTCAAGATATTATGTGGTAGCATTCCACTGGTCATAGAATAACTAACTAGATCTGAAGATCTGAAGCACTGGCTGGGTATAGATAAGGCCAGGAAGCCTCCCAGATAAGGTTTCTTCTGTTTCTAATAATCCTATTCAGGACTTTGGACAGCACAAAGATAACTTTAGAATGATTCCTTCCTGATCCCTTTCTGCCCCTTTTCTAATTTATTTATTTATTATTATTAGATTTCTATCCCACCATTTTCTGTTAAAGAACTCAAAGCTGCTACATCATTCGCTTCCTGCTGCTCTCAATCTTATCCCCACAACAAAAAAATTATACAAATTTAATAAGCAAACACACAGTCAGGCCATACAAGGTAGGTTGGACTGAGAGACTGTGATTGATCTAAGAGCACCCAGTTGGCTACATGGCCGAGCAGGGACTAGATTAGTGATGAGTATGCAAACTGCAACCCATAACTCATTTATCGCAAAGTGCCAACACTACAATAGAACCTGAAAACTGAGGTTTTAGTTTAGAAAAAACAACTCAAAGCCAGTCCAAGCAAGTGTGTGTGTGTGTGTATCCTAACAGCGCACTGAGTGGCCATGCGAAAACTCAGATGAGTTGCGCTAATGGATTGCAGCTTGTGACGCCATCGCCTGGTGCTGCTTCTCCTTTCCGAGCATGCGCATGGACCTATGTGCGCTGTTATCCGATTCTCAGCTGCTGCAGTGATGTTGGTGCAACTTGGTTCGCATGTTGCCAGAGAGGGCTCTGTGTGCCCACTGTGGCCTGCATGCAATACGTTGACCACCACTGCCCTAACCCTATCCTGGTGCACTCCCCTAACCCTAATATAGGGGTAAAATACCATTGAAAATATGACAATTTTGGAAAAGCCTTCCGAGTAGCTTTTTCTGCACAGCTCATCATTTCTGCCCATGCTAAACACATTCCAACCATCAAAATCATGCCAGGACACCTGGTTTGTGTAACTCTAACCCAGAGATGGTGAACCTGTTATTTAGTTATTTATGTATTTATTTATGTATTTATTTATTTATTTAAAACATGTTAGGCCGAGTGCCCAAACTGCAACCCAAAACCCACTTATTTATCGCAAAGTGCCAACACTGCAATAACACCTGAATGCTGAGGTTTTAGTTTAGAAAAAACAACTCACAGCCAGACCAAGCAAATAGATATATATCCTTGGCAGCATATTGACTGGCCATGCGAAAGCTCAGATGAATTGTGGCTAATGAGTTGCGGCCGTGACGTCATTGCCTGGTGCCGCTACTTCTTTCCAAGCCTGTGCAGGGCCCCTGTGTGCGCTGTTCTCCTATGCTCGGCTGCTGGGGTGACTTGGCTCGTGTGCCGACAGAGAGGGCTCTGCAGGCCCACTGTGGCATGTGTGCCATAGGTTCTCTACCACTGGACTTGATCATAGAATCATAGAACAGTAGAGATGCAGGTGGCGCAGTGGTTTAAACCGCTGTGCTGCTGGGCTGGTTGATCGAAAGGTCGCAGGTTCGAATCGGCACAGTGGGGTGAGCTCCCGTTGCTCCGTCCCAGCTCCTGCCAACCTTGCAGTTCGAAAGCATGCAAATGCGAGTAGATAAAAAGGTACCACTTCAGTGGGAATGTAACAGCGTTCCGTGCACCTTGGTGTTTAGTCATGCCAGCTACCTGACCACGGAGACTGTCTGGGGACAAACGCTGGCTCCCTCAGCTAGGAAACGGAGATGAGCAGCGCCCCCTAGAGTCAGACATGACTGGACTTTAATGTCAAGGGGAAATATTTACCTTTAGAGTTGGGTCCCCTGAATCCCATGCCTCTTCTCTTAACTGCTACACCGTACTGGCTGTCCCTCATGTGGTGGGTCCCACCAATTCCACTGTGCCAGTGGGACCCACCATTTTAGCATTTCAATGGGGGGGGTGGCTTATGCAAGCTGCACTGAGCTTCCTCCTTCCATAAATGAGCACCACCATTTGTTGGAGGTTGCCCAGGAAACACTAACTAGCCTTTGCACAAGCTGTGGGAGCTGCTTGTGCCTCAGGATTGGCAAGAGAATGAGAAAGGCATGTGCACCCAGCTGAACTCTGCCTGGTGTTCCTAATTGTGGGAGGATGACTTTTAGGGCTGGGGACATGGCTGGGGAGGGACATGTAAATAATGTGACAAATCTCTGTGAATCCAAAGGTGCTTGATTGGACTCAGCAGCAAAGTTTCTGTGATTGAATCAATGCACTTGTGAGTCATTTGTAAATTGGATGACCTTTTATTTTATTTTTTAAAGGAACCATTACTATTTGTCTTGCATTTAACCTTCAGAAATGTTAGCTTTCCCTTTTCTTTCTGCATCTCAGGGGGGTTGTCAGTGGCCATATGACTAGAAAGTGTTCTGCAAAATGGAATGATGTTTCAAAAAAAGAAGTCCAAAAATGCTGCTCCTTGCTTGGCTATGGGACAATTTAATTACGCTTTAGAATGGAATCAGGAACATTATAATTATCAATAATAATACCTTTCAAACATTTTGTCTGTGGCAAACACAGCTTAAAAGCCCCACAGGCTTTCAATCACAGGCATTTTTCTTGTCATGTTACAAATTTTCAGAAAGACATTCACATTTTGAAAGGATTTTGATTAGCTTATGTTCAGTGAACTTTCAAGACAAATTAATTCAGTGCAGTCCTTTGCAGGAGAGCAAGGTGAATCTGTAAACTTCAGATGCTGGCATTTCAATTATTTTTTTAAAATTGCAAAGAAAATGAACAGCAAAGTGCTGTACTTGTCTAGTCAGAAGTAAAAACAAAAAGTTAAATGACGCTTACTCCCAGGAAAATGGATGCAGTAATACAGCTTTTATTTATTTTATATTATCAAGAAGCTATTTCAAATCACAAATTTTCTCAAAAACCCCCACAAAAACCCTCAGGTACCAGTTCTTGATGTTCTACATATCTTATGACCAGCTGTAATACAGTGGTGAGGTGAGCCAGCTGTGGCCCTCCAGATGTTTTGGCCTACAATTCCCATCATTTCTGATTATTAATATGCTGAGGCTTGTAGGCCAAAACATCTGGACAGTAACAGCTGCAATGCAGTTAGAACTTGTGGACTTTCTTAGCACAACCAGCGGGAATAGGTATGTAATATTTTGCTCTCCAGATAAGACATTCTCTGGAAAAAGCTGCAACCACATGCTATCTTAGCCATGCTGAGATGTGCTTCTAAGTGGAGGTGATTCATATAGGACAGAGAGATGCTTCAGTGTTGCTTATTGTTGTATTCCAGAAGTACTTATCACATTCTTTTTTTCTGAGTTTTGAAGTGATTGCGAAAGCCAGTGAGCATTGAAGAGCAGGTAGCCTGAGTCCATCCTTGAAGTTCTGAAACCAGGGAGCAGCCAATTTCACTCATTTGCACCTGGCTCCCAGCCTAGGTGCAACAGTTCAGACGAATGGGAAAGGCAGGACCCAGAAGTCCTGCAGGCATTAGTGTGGCAACTTCCTATAATTAGCGCTTACATCCACAAATAGGAAATGTTTCAGGAAGGAAAGAAAGGCATTTATTTCTTCTTGGCCACTGCATTGTTGACTTGGAAAAACTGGCATGGAGAAGTTGACTGAACGGCTTCTTGCTGTACAAAGTAACCGAGCATCTGAGATGGACACAAGGGATGAAATGTGTAGCTTGAGTGTATCCAGTCTCCCAAAATGATGCTACATAGATGTGTTCTTAAAAAAGCAGTCATTGAGGGTCATTTGATAACTTAATACTAAATTAAGCAGAATTTCTGACGTGTTTCTCAAGGTTCCCGAGGCTACATCATAAACATGACATAAACAGTATCTGCCGGTTATTTTCATTCTGCATCACTCCTCGTGGGCATCAACAGTCCAAAAAGAAAAAAAAAAGGCAGATGAAGTTCTATACACACAACCAACCTCTGTGGTCTTTGCCAAAGAGGACTTTGCTGTGAGCACAGAGCCCTGCATGCTCAGCCCTCCATGCCTGAGCTAAGTGGGCATGGAGGAGCTGAATTCAGCTACAGAGCACAACTTGATGGAGCACCTGGCAAGCCAAGATTCCCAGGCACAGAGAGCAATGAGATGCATCACAGACTGTCTCCCATCAGCATGGGAAGGTTGGGAGCCCACAGCCAGGATAAGAGCACCCCTCTCCAGCAAAGCCCTCTGTGGAGATGGCATTATAGTCATTTCTGAACATGCACAGGTTCGAGTTCTCATCCTACTGATCAGTTGTCTCTTCTTTCTTACTACTGGGGCCATCCGGGGTCCCTGTGGATTTTTTAAACATTGCAATAAGAAACATTAATTATCTAGAAGCAGTAAATAAAATGACATTCTGACCTTTTCTTCATTAATAAAGAAAATGCTGTGTTTACCTCCAGCAATGTTTCTGCTTCTTCAGTCAGAGATTAAAACTTGTCTCTGAGTAGAGTGTTAATTAAAACCAGTGCATCTTTTCCCCTCTCCTTTGGAAAAAATATATATTTGAGAGAGATTTCCCACAAAGACACATGACTGTGGGCTCCCATTTCCAATATAGGCATTAATCAGTGAATGACAATAAAATTCGATCCTTTGTTTTCCTTTAAACCAGTTGGTATTTGGGTTTCTATAATTACTGTAATAGTTCAAGTGATAATTGTGCATGTTTCCTTCAACTTCACTTGTTCAGTTTGTCATCTTACAGATGTGATAGGGGAATCCAAAAATAGTACTTTGTATGCCAAACAGGAATGCTTGTCTGCCTTTAGCTATGAATAGAGCCACATTATTCATTTTTGACAGCCCACAGTGGCTCTAGCAGTTAACTTTTGATTTTAGCTATATTTCCTCTAGATTATTTTTGTTGGCCACCCAAGGTGAAAGTGTAGTGAGAAAACTGTCTGATGCATTATAGGCAAGCATTTAATGTTTTTAAGGAGTCACTTTCAGGAAGCAAGAAAGACTCGGGGTGTTGTTATCCAGGACACACTCTTCTGCACAGGGGCACCATCAGCACATACAATTGGTTCAAAGAATGCTTATGTATGCACACCGCTTACTAGGCTAAATTTAGACCCCTCCACCTAGAGCTTCTGTGCAAAGTTTGGAACAAACCACAGTTTCCCATGTCATCTGAATTAGGAAAACTGTAGCCTGGACAAACCATAGTTAACAAGCCAGGATGGCACATCAGCATTTGCTATCTTGGTCTGTGGTGCTGAAAGTGCTTCTAGTGGTAAAAGAGGGGAAGCAAGTTAGAGCACCAAGCATGGGGCTATCACCAGGGCATGTTCTTATTACAACAAATAATGGTTTGTTGCAATGCAAGCTTAGCCATTATACCATACCACACACACACACCGCTCTTTAAAAAGAACACACTGAAGCATTTTTAAGGGAGATTCTAATCTGGCTTTGTGTATCTGCTTTAAATGGAAGACTACAATTATATTTGCTTTCAGTGTGGAAAAATGAATTAATTGCATTGAAATTTCATTGTTTGTAGCAAATTGACAGCACCTTGGTTCAGAAAAGCACCATTGTTCTTCAAAAGGCAAAATGTTAAGAGATAATTGCCCATTCATTAAATTAGGAGCTGTCTTCATCTGAGATAAGAAGCTAGAACAATAAAAGCAATCATTGCTCAACCATATTATAAATTAACATTATTCCTTGTGGTCCTCCAATATATCAGTGACCTTTCCAAGGCTTTATTTATCACACACAACAAAGAAAAAGTTATGCAGCTAATTGTGCTGCTGCTTACACTGATGTATGGCCGATCATTTCTGATTATAAATGCTTGTGCCACTTTCTTAATTAAAATGGTATTAAGGTGGTAATAGAATAGCATTTTCCATACCACCAGGGATGGCAGGCTGCTGTGAGACATCAGAGAACAATTTCTTCTATTTCCTACCCATACAGGTCAAATCAAGGTGAATGCAATAAATACCTGTGGATTTTGCTGGGAGTTCTCATGAGCTGGTTCTTTAACGTGTCACATCTTTTTATTGGTAGAGGTGGCAGGGTCACAAAATGGACCTCAACCATCATGTAGCTCACTTAGATGGTAAAGCCAAATGGGGGATCATTCGGCTAGTGGAATGGTTAAATGCCCTGGGTCTATTCAGCCTGAAGGAGACATGGTAGCTATCTTCAGCCACCTGAAGAGCTGTTGGTCCAAAGGTGATGCAGTCTTGTACCATCCCGAGACATTGTAGTGGATGGTATATAAAAGCTTTGAATAAATAATAAAATAAAATAAAATAAAATACACTTGCAGTGGCTGGGCTACAACAATGGTTGCAGACCAGTAGGATGTAGGGCAGGCATCCAGAGGGACTTCCCAACTTGTAAAAGTTGTTCAACTGTAGAGCAGACTGCCTTGGGAGGTGGTGGACTCTTCTTTGCAGGAAGTATTTAAGCAGAGGTTGGGTGGGCACCTGGTGTCCTTACATTCTTCATGGCTGATCCTCCATTGAGCAGAGCTTCAAATGAGAAGACCCCCCCCCCCAAGGGATCTTCCAACTCTTTGATGCTGTGAATGGATAGTCTTCCATGAAAGAACAGAAAAAATGTTTCTGGAGAGCCCTTGCCTAGCCCTTCTCCCCATGATTATACTTCTCTTTGTGTATGGTTCATGAGGAAAGGGAGGTTGCAATGTGTATGCGCAGTCTGAAGCATTCCAGCCCAGAAACAAGCTTGCCACCTCAGTGAAAGCTAGCTTTATGTTTGCAGTTAAAAATGACGCTAAATTCTGTAATATATGATTTTCAGATTGAAATATTTTAGACTTTTTCTTTTCAAAGTGGTAAATGCAAAGCTGCATATAAATCTCCAGGAAGCTCAGTATGGCAGATCAGCCACATGGCACTCTTGGAGTTTATGGCCTTTCACCCTAGCTCAGGAAAACACTTTGAACTGTAGCAAAGTGCTTGAGGGAGATACATAAAGAAGTGGACTTCATTCCAGGACAATAACAATCAGATCTTAGGCTCTGTACCCATGTTAGGATAAAGGCATACAAACATGCCTGCTTTGTGAAAAGGCACATTCCAAGGTAATGCATCATCCAGAGGGCCATAACAATGTTCAGAGTCCTAACTCCAACATCAGAAAAGGGCACCAACTTCAGAGTTGGGGCTACATGCTTGGATTCCCCTCTCCCACTTCTTGCAGCGGAAGTGCAAAGAACTCTGCCAGCTGCACATCCCAGCTCGAAAAAGCAAATCAGAGAAGGAATGAAGAGAGTATTCTGGAGGATGGGGAGGAGATGGGCTCCACTGGGTGATGACATATTCTGGTGGGGCTCTAGCCTGCCTACCTCTCTGGCTGGAGCACCTTAGCTAAACAGCCAAAATCAACCGTCTGACTGATTCATAGGGGAGTACGGAGGCGTTCACAACTCTGTGCTCCTCCCACCCTCTGTAGGATGCCTGCAGCCCTCTGAGGTCAGGAGCTCATGGACATCTCCACTGAGTGGCACAATCCCATGCACCATTAGACAAAACAGTCTTCCAACTCCCAGAAGGCTTGGGGGCTTGTACATTTTTTCACCTTCTGAACATGCTTAGGATTGCATCCTAAAGGGGTTCCTGGATCTTGGCTATTTCTGTTTTGTAAAATAAAGACTCACTCCTTTTGTTAACAAGCTTTTGTTTGTGTTGATTCTTTCTTGCAGTCACCTCCAAGCCAGAAGATGCTCACCCTGTGCAGAGAAGCCCTAGGAGGCCTCAGAAACCGAAGATGCTAAACAGCCCTGAGGATTCTACATATTATACTATCATGCATGTAAGCAGGGGAGTAACAACTTTAGGTGTGAAGCCAAATATCCCCCACTGAGCCCTTTGTGAGCTATGATTATGGTGGGTGCATCTGTGCCTGCTGTCCTAACCCCCCCCCCCCTTCTCATTTTGCCTTTCCCCATGCTGAGAGAAGCACGGAATTCCATGCCGAGAGGGCCACAGGGATGGGGTTTGGCAGGGAGGGACAGGTGATTTGGAACAGACCCAGCTGGACCATGGAAGAGCCCCTGCTTCTTCCAGCATTTGCCAAGTGCCTCAGCTTCAGGCACCCCACACTGGCAGGGGTTGCCACACAAACAGTTTTGGGCAGAGCTGGAGGGTTGTTCCAAGTTTATTTTATTTGGGACTGTCTCATTCCATTTGATAGAAAGCAATTGCTTTTGGAAAGATCCATATTTATAACTCCTAGTGATTTCTCATGGGTAGGTTACCGGGCAATTTTGCTTACCTTAATTGCAAGGAGTCCCAGTGTCCTGCCCTTCATTGAACAATCCTCTTTCTAGCTTTCTTCAGCCTCCCCAGGTCAGTGAAGACCTGGAGGCAGATGTCCTGAAGCGACTCCTCCCTTGGAGATTTTTTCAGAAACTGTAGGCAGCCAGAGAGGCTGCAGTGAGGGAAAGAGGCATGTGATAGAAAGAAAGGTCACGTAACTTACTTGGCCACCTTGCAACAAGGTAAGCTCAAAGATGTCACCAAAAGATATTCTGCCTGACAAAGAGACAGAAAAGTAGAAAAGTTCTTGGGAGGACAGATTTTGGTATGGCTGTCACTTTAACATCTTTAACATCTAGTTCTTAATTTACAGCAGCCAGTTTTTATTCAGGGCTGTTCTGTTCAGGACGGGCTGAGTCCACTGCTCCTTTTGGGTGCAATGTGGAACCAGTTCAGCAAAGGGAATTGTTTTCAGTGGATCTGAATTGTACCCTGAATCCAAGCATTCATTGCAACTCCATCTGGGATCCCCCCCCCCACACTTTTTTCTAAGCAGGTGTGTGGCTGTGGCATTGTACTTGGCAACACCTTCTCCCTAAGTGCAAGGAGATGGCACCCAGGGAGGGGGATGTTCTTAGCCACTGGAAGCTCTCCTGGTCATCCCTTGGTGTCAGGAGCTAAGGCTTCTCCTTCACACATTCAAGGCCACAGACCTTTTCCTTGCAAAGCATTTTTATTGACCAAAAACACAAAACACCCAGAATGAAAATCTTTGTATGCACAGGATAGTTGGTTAGACCCAGTCTAGTATTCTCCTCCAGGAACTCTCCTTATGCAAGTGCCTGGGTCCCATCCCTTCTGGAGGGGTCTTCTGAAAATGAGCATGCCTCCTTCTGAAAATGAGCACGCCGATCCTCTAACTGGGACACCCTCCCCTGCTGTCAAAGTGCCATGGGATCTAGAGTCCCCTGCTCCAAGTGCCTTCCCACCAACCCAGCCTCCTGGTTATTCCCAGAGAGTGTCTGTCCACCTGGCAAGTCTGCCCTTGAGACCAGCATCTCCACTTCTCTCATCTCAGTGTCTCAGGATGGCCCACAATCCCAGCCCCCCAGCCCCTTCTGCTCCCCCTTCTGACTCTTCCAAATCCCAGCCAGCAGCCCTTGCAAACAGGTACCCAAAGCAGCCCTCTTTTTCACTCCCAGCTCTTGGCTGCAAGGTCAAACAGCCAGGGTAGCTTTCCAAAGCTGACCTTCCTGCTGCTAAAAGAAGCGAGAGCATGGAGGTGGGGCAGGGGTGGGCCATGTCAGGAGGAAATGGAGGGAGCAGTGTCCCTGGGTTCCTCTTAAGAGCAATTAAGCCCCCTCGCTGGAGGCATCTGCATACTATTGACCTACTTAGCAGCAGGTGACAGAACGCATTTGCTGAGTCAGGCTGCAGCTCTTGCTGGCACTCAAGTGAAATTATAGCAGTGGCTTTGAAAGAAAAATTAGGGTGCACATTTAACAAAGAGACACAAAGTGGCTGCTTTTTCAGGTCTTTTTGCCCCATCTTTCTCCTCACATCTCCTACAAGAAATGCGTGATGTGACATCTTTGCACTGTGTGCTTTCCCTCCTCTGCAAGTCGGAGAGGTGAGGTAGGGCCGGGACTCAGAGTCTGCAAAGTACATACAGTGATGTAAGAACGTGCCTGTGGTTCGGTAAACAAACCAAGAAAGGGGCGTGCAGGTACCGGGCAGTGACAGCAATGCTGCATCCACTAGAATGGCTGAGCCCCCTCGACATCTTCACAGCTGCAGGGCAAGGGAGAAGTTGACAGAACTGGAGTCACGAATGCTTGCAAGAAAGCAGCTTTGTCCAACTAGGTCTGCTATGTGAAGAGGCTCTTATGCTCTGAACTCTTTAGCCTGCTCAGGTAATTTGTTCTATAAAGTGTGAATTACCTGTGTCAGTTGCATTGAATGCTTTCATGTGCATAACATGGAGATGCCTGTTTTGCAAGGTATGGGATACTGTAGATGCACCTGAAGAATCTCTCCTTGGCCACAGGTTCTTGGAAAATGGCCATTGCATGATTATATCCCTTTCATACTTGGGAGAGTTTCTTACTGCAAACATAGGTATATATGAGCAAATATACCTCCCATATAAAGTGGGAATCAGTCCTAGCTGTAGCTGGCAAAGTATTTTATTCCCATAAATAAAATACTTTATTTATGGGAATAAATAAACTGGGTGGATCTAGGCTTAGTCATCCATAGAATAAACCCATTGCTGCTAATGGGATTTGAATTAGTTATGATTAAATTCCATCAGTTTTAATAAGTTTGAGTAGAGCTGAGGCTGGAACCAATTTAAGTTCTAGAAGGCAGTGTGATTCCTCCACTCTTAGGTTGGGTCTGGTTTCAGGGGTTTAGGAACAGATATATCCATGCAGCCCACCTGTTCCCTGCTGTCCATGTCTCTGTTGGTCTTACACTCACCAATCCAGTGACCAGTTTCGTCATGAGGTTATCCTGCATACATTTATCCCCCAATTTTGTGGGATCTTCTGCCAAACATTTGTTTTGTCCAGTGCCCTAAAGGCATGCTTAGGATTCCTCAAGACTCACATATCTGGAAATGTTCAAGCAACTGTATGGTAAGCAACTGTAAATTCCAGAGCCACAGTTCTTAGAAAATAGTTTTCTGCACTTCAGTTGTCTTGACTGAAGAGTCCGTGTGGATTTTAGTTTCATTGACTTAACCTGGCTTAATTGCAATTGCCAGCACAGCGTATTTTATTTATTTATTTATTATTTATTTATTAAAACATTTCTATGCTGCCCCATTCGCCAAAGCCTCGGGGCGGCTCACAACATAAGATAAAGTACAAAAATAACAATATAAAAATAACAATATAAAATAAATAACAATATAAAAGAAGTCGCCCTGGCCAGACGATTTTGTAGACCTTCTTCCTGTTACTCACTATGCTGCACTCTCTCCACTCTAATGTTTATATTATCCTTGTTCATCTCATCCAGTTTTTCTTTGGGACAAAGAGTTTGTGGTAGAGCCAAGGCATTGGCAGAGGTTGGCCCTCCACTCATGTAAGGCTGATTACAGCATTTTCTAGACATCATAATGACATAAATGAATGGATACATTTACCTATCTACAGTGAATATATTTAAGCATGTTGCATAAGCCATTTTTTACACTCTGCTGCAGCTCAGTTAAATAACCGAACTATCAGTCAGGTACCTTCTGCCCCATTGCTCTTTATGGCCATAGGAAGCTGCCATATACTTGAGTCAGACACTGGCCCATCTAGCTCCATATTGCCAACACTGACTGGCAGCAATTCTTTCCTATTCCCACCTGAAGAAGCCAGGAATTGACCTTCTGCATAGAAAATACATGCTGCACTCATACATTGCCTGGCCCTTTGCTCTGTATTTGTACACTACAGAGCAAATAAATCATGTTGCTCTTTCTACAATAAAGCAAGTTATTTTGATAAACTCACATTGGTTTAAACCAGGTTTTAACCTCTTATATTCAGTGCAATTTAATAACTCTGATGTCAGCAGGTCAAGCTAGACACCTACCAGCCTCAGTTGTCATTGGACCCATCAGCCTCAACTGTTTATATTATGGGAGCTGACTAGGAATCATGAAATCTCAGTCAGGCTCGTTTTGTACTTCAAAATATAAATCCCCCAAACCTAGCATTGCTTTGCATGGAATAAGTTAAAAGCTATTGAAGAGACATAATTGTCCAAAAATTGTCTTATCCCATATGTCTTCTCTAACAGTTTCACCATAGTGGTAAGTACAACTAAAGAGAAAGCAAAAATGGCATCCAGGAATGTTTGAGCATTTTCATTCAGTCTGCATTTTTAAATGAACCAATCTGTTTTGCAATTCCTAGACTGATATGCAAATACAAATCCAGTTATCCTCCAGATTGTGTGTACTTCTTCACATTTTATAATATCATTTCTAGCTCAAAAACATGGCCAGATCATCCAAAAATGAGCATTTTAGAAAAAATGGGGTACAAAAACAAGCATTTTAAGATAAAATGCATATAAAGCGTATGCTTAACTAAGCATTTGAGTGCAATTTTGTCTATGTGTTTTTTAATTATTCATCTTATCTTTCCTAAAATTATCCATCCATTCTTACATGGATGCAGAAACAGGACTTACAAATGAATGTGTGTAAAACTGATGTGAGCTGGATTTGAATGATGTATCTCTATTCTATAGATGTAAGAAAAATCAGGAAATTAGCATTTGTAGAAATCATGCAGTGTTCATCATAGTTATAACCACTCACAAATTACGCTTTCAGAAATCAGTCCAGGATGAAAAACGGAAACCAAGAAAAAACAGGTATTTTTTTCTTCTCTCAGTAATTTGCAGTAGCATTTTTGTGTTTCAAGAAGTTTTTGTTTTTGCTTGATCTTTATCAATATGTGATATCCAGGGTCAAATTCTTCCTTTGGAAGGCCAAAATTTATTATTGAATTCTGCGCAACCAGGCTAATCATGAGTCACACTTCCATAGGAGTATCAGGCTTTTCTGCTTACATTAGGCTAAGAATTTAGACGCAAGCAAAAATATTGTTAAGTGTTACATTTAACCTATCAGTAAGTATTTAATTTCCATTTCAGTGCAAATGCACTTTCCATGGTCAATGTTGGTGTGCATTTTTATTTGCGCTGCGTGGCTAATACCAGCTCAGGCATGGATGCTGGCTCTTGGAACAGGGTTGTGGCACAGTGAAGGAGAGGTGCCATCTCCAAACACACACGCTCTCTGCAGCCCTGAGCTTCCACACCCACCTTTTTGCTGCTTTTTCAAGGTGAAAGCCATGCTGGGAGATCCAGCCATGGCACTTCAACATATCACGTGGCTAGGCCCTGCCTGGGACAGCCCTCTCCCTCAGTTAGCCTCCTAGTGCGCCGCTTCGCATTCCACTGAGAAAGCACACTGTGGACCTGATGTAACTGTGCCAGCTTTCGCACTGGTGTGGTCTCCACTGATGTCTGCTGTGATCTTCTAGCAGCCTGAAGCTGATGAAACGTAGTGCCAGGACTCTGCCAGGAGAATTCCGAATGCTGAACCAAGCCCGTGTTCTTTCCTCTTATCCATGCTTTTTGGCCCAGCACTGAAGCAGTTAAGCATATAATCTCTGTGTTCCTTATTGATCAGCCTAAACCATTTATTCACTTCCAAGCCTGACATACCCCTGATAATGTCACATTTTCACTGATATTGCAAAATGCTGGCGTCTGAATTTCAATGCCCTGCAGCCTTGGCTTAGCAGAAGCCTGGCCTACAAAATTGCAATGTAGAGTGCACATTGGTGTTAAATGCGTAAATCCTTCTAAATAGGGGCTTAGAAAGGGAGTACTAATACAGTCCTAATTATATCAGTAAGAATAGCATTGCGGAAAATTGCCCAGTAATTGTAGAGCCTTTCAGGCTTGGTACAGCTCTGAAGCAGCCCTGGTGCACGTTCCCTCTGTACCTTCCCAAAGCTGCTTCCCTGGGCACATCAAAAGACATTTAGAAAATTGGCATTTTGGTTTTCTACTTTGTGGTAAAACCTGGGGCTGGGTTGTTTTTATTTGAGCTTCTGTGCAAGCCACTGACACTTCAAGAATACATTTTAAAGGGCTAATAGAATTTTCCCAGAGTTTGTTCTAATGGGGGTTCCTGAAAACCATAATGCTCAGAAGCAGATAATAAGCTCTGATCCATTTCCCATAGAACAACCTCAGATCCCAACTCCCATTTGGTGTGTTTTGCTTCCTTGGGACATACACTGTTTTTTATGTTCTGAAGTTGCTAATATATCCCAGAGAATCAAAGCACACTGGCTGCATAAAATAAAGTGATAATGTGTTATTGGATCTGGTGAAAAATTCACCATTACTTTGTAAAAAGTCATGTGAAACTCAGAAGCTAGCCTGTTTTTCTCTCCCTTGTTAGAAGTTCTGCTGCTAGACCAGATATTGAGCTACAGTTCCCTCCGTGCCCAGTCACGATGGCTGATAGCCAGGGATGACCAGAGGCTGAGCATCTTGAAACCCAAAGCTGGGAATGGCTTCTCTACATCCCATCTTATCCTGCATTAATTGTGTTTCATGCTGCAGCACTGGGACTAATCAAATAATTTACAGAAACTTCAGAACATGAAAACTATGGTCAAATAAAAACAATAAAATATAGAAAAACTTGAAGCCATATCATTCAGCATCTAGCACAAGCTCAAGAAACACATCCTGCACATAATCAGAAATACAATTTCTCACTTGATATTAAAAGTAGGTTCTGTTCCTGAGCCCTGATGAAAGCTGTGTACCTAATCCTATTCATGGAGGATAATTTTATCAGAAGCTGTTAAGGGACTTTCAGATTCTGAGGATGTTGCTCTCATGGCCCACTTGTAGGCATCCTAGTTATTCTTTTTATACGTAACTCCTCAGTCTCAGCCTTCATTATCTCTGACTGTCCATTGTGGAAAACTGACGCTGGACTTGATGGACCTTGGGTTTGGCCCTGTAGGGCTTATGTCCCGATGTCCACCGTACTGTAAATATGGTTGAAGGTGCAGTTTTAGGCCAAACTGTATTTCCTATAATGGGCTTAGAACTTTTGCGTATATTGGGTTGTGTTCAGGCATAATGATGGCTGCACTCCTTTCGCCACTAACCCCGGCATAGGCACTGAATTACTTCTTAGTAGAAATGCATAGCATCTCAATTTAAGACTGCAGTCCTAAATGCACAGGCTAGAGAGAAAGCTACATGGAAGATAGTGGGATTTTTAAGTGAGCCTACAACTTACGGTCCTTGCAATAGTTTGAGAAGTGGTCCCCGTTTATCTCAAAGGCTGCATTTCTAGTTGTCTTTTGTTGTGTTTCACTGTTGATCTATAGATGAATTCTATCTATAATACTTCGCTTTTGAACCTCTTTTGGTTGATAAGATGATGCAGAATAAGAATTAGCTTGATTTCTAATTTATGCATTATGTTTAATAGTCTGGGCAAGATACTGGATGTAGAAGATCCATATTACCAAGAATTTTTGTCTACCAGTTTCATCTCAAATGATAGTCATACCAGCCCAAAAGAAAAGAAGCCACCAGACCAGCCTAGAAATGCAACATTAAAGATTAATGAAGGGTGAGTAAAGCAGACAAAAGCTAAGTGCTATAATGTGCCACTGCATTCACTTTTCCATTGAAATCAGAAGGTAACTGCTGAACTGGAGCTGGATCGTGCAAATTATTTGGAAGAAGGAAACATAACCAGCTTAAGGAACAATCTGATGCATGCTTGGATAGAAGAAAGGTTTGCAGGGGCATTCTAGGAACTCCAGGCCATTTTAAGGGTTGCATAATGTCATATACATTAAGGCACCATTCTGTACAAGCTTAGGAGAAGGCCTACAACTCCCTTGCTGGCTAGGACATGCTAGGAGATGTGGGACTTTTTTTCTGTCTAAACAAGACAGAAGTTTTTCTGAGAGAATTCCAGAATTCTATAAGAACCTATAAGTAGGTGAAGTTTATCTCTGTTGTCGGGTGAGTTCATACAGGAAGAGCTGGTCTGCAAGGAAAGGAGCAAACGGTTACCTGCTACCACTATTGACATAGCAGAAACCAGCACTGGCTACTGAAGATGCACAAGTGTTGGGTTCCACTAGCACAACTTCAAGAGCACTATGAGCCAGACAAGAGCACTATGAGCCAGTGGTTAAGCACACAGGACTGGAACCAACTGAGTAACTTTGGGCCAGTCACAGACTCTCAGCCCAACCTATATCGTGGGGATAAGACTGAGAGCAGTAGGAGGAGAATGCTGTAAACTGGTTTGAGGTCATTTTTAGAAAGCAGGATACAAATCTAATAAATAAATAGGATCCTTCCCAAAGATTTCTAGGTCCTTCCAAGTTATAAGTAATTATTATGATATGTTATTACCCAAAATTCTTCTTGTTGAAAACACCAATACCCTTTCTGATGTCATTGACCTAGCCCACCATCCTAGAATCAAATGCAGAGTTAAGCATGTTTTATTCTCAGTCGCAGAAGAGATGATGATGATGATGATGATGATGATGATGATGATTATAACATTTCTATGCCACCCCGAGATCCCCATGACACCTTCAAGCTTAACAGATTTACTGCGGTATAAGCTTCTGTGAACTTCAGCCTGCTTCATCAGCTGCTTGGTGTTATCTTCAACTGGCAGATACATAAATACATGAATATAAAGATCCATATCTGTTCACAAATATAAGCATGGAGGATGGGGACTCAAATCTCAGCGGGGCAGTGTATCCGCTCCAGGTTGCAGCCTGAACTTTGGAGGAGCTGCCCATGGCATTGTTCCTACACTGGGGCCAGGTTTTAGCATCATTGACAGCTCCTTTAAAGCTCATACAAGAGCCAGAATGAATGCACTGCCCCACAGACATCTGAACCACCAGATCTTGCTGGAAATAAGCCTTGACCAAACGAAAATAATGTTTGCCAGGTGAAAAGGGCTCCAGTTGAAGTGCAATAGTCTGTCTCTGGACTGTGCTTTAACAGACTAACACAGCCACCCATCTGGAGTTTATTCCCAGTTCAGAGGATCAGGATGGTTGTAGAGTGTCGGTGATTCCTCCAGCATTTTGTGAAGGAAGGCACTGCTGCCTTGGATTTCTCTGTGCTTATCTTACAGCTGGCGTGCAGCCTAGATGTTACGAGCGAATCTGGCTCAAGACATCTGCTGGCCTGAGCGACAGGGTCATGCATTGTGACCCTTGCACTCCATCATCGTCTGCACAGGACTCAGCTCGAGTGCACATGGCTTCAGCACTCCCGAAATGTATTGCTACCCTGAAAGGCCAGCTTGGGTTGCTGACCCAGTTGCATGGGTCTGATCCTGAACAAAGCCAAGCCCTGAGCTAATGCTGAGACACCAGCTCGTGCGTGCATCATGCTGCTGGTGTGACAGCTGGAATATCATGCGCTGACCTGCATGTGTTCTTACTCTGCAGAACATTCATATCACCCCAATGTCCTTTCCACTGTGGTCAGTTCACACGTTGAGGTGTCAGTTTTCCACTGCAAACTTCCACTGTTGCACATTGAAGGCATCCCTCCCTCGTTATGTCTGGATAGTGAGTTCTGTATAGGGTTGGAAGGACCCAGCTGGATCGTCTGCTCAGCCCCCTATTCCAAAATATTCTAGCCTTCACCTGAAACATCCTAGACCAACACTTTCCAGCCCTGAGTCTGTTGCTGTACAACACTGGGAATAAGACATGGACACACAGCAGCTGAGGAGCACCTGGAGGGTCATTCCTTATCGATTTGACATCTTAAGTACTATCTCCTTTTTCATTCTCAGCACCCCACCTATGAAGCAAAGCATGTTTTTTCTTTGTTGTTCTGCCACGTACAGCATATTTTACCTGCTGCAAAAGGCAGCAGAATGGGGGAAGTCAAACTTCTGGTTTGGTGCGTTTTGTTTTATTCTGAGGGGTTTTTTCCTTGATGGTGGAGGTTAAGCAGTCAGTTAGCAGTGTTTCCCAAAGTAAATCTTTTGACTTCTAAATTCAAAAGTTCTTTTGTATTTTAATCCCTAGGTCAAGAGTAGGAGGGAATCCACTAGAAGAGAACAAAAGCAAAGAGAATCCTTATGACTATCGAAAACTGCTGCGAAAAACCTCTCAACGCAGACGCCTTATCCAGCAGCATTAGCTGCTGCTCTTCTGTTTTCTCCTCATTTTTTGCATGGTTTTATACTGCATCCTTTTATTTTTGATGCATATCTCTCTATCTATTGTTCTGTCTCTGGCATTTTAAGTCAACTGTGTGTTTGCATATGTGGACGCACAATCTTACAGAGCCTTACAGGGAAAGATGACAAAGTTTCGGTAGTAATGTGTGGATTTTTTAAAAAAAGAAAACATATGCACATGGGAAAATTATTTTATTAGTATGCCATAACTTATTAAAAACCTAGATCATCAATTTACTCTTTTTCATTTTTCTGTATTTTCATGGTAAAAATTTAAATGTTATTACCTTTTGATTGTTTCTTTTCTATATGCTTTGACCTTTGAAACTTCCATGTGCACACTTTTAAAATGAAGCTAATTCAGTTAATGAAAATAAATACTCCCCCATCCCCTGTGCACACATGCGTGAGCACACGCACACACTTTTAAAATTGGGGGATTCTGCTGAGGCAGCTCACCACTGCAGTGTGGACTGCTGTTGGGCATCCAGTATACCAGAGAGACCCCCACAGAACACAACATTGATTTTAAATGTGTGATTCTACTGTGGCTTGTGAGGAACCGATGCAACACCACCATTCATTTTTATAGGGGATGTACTGAGATTCGGTGTTTACACCCTTGGTGGAGATTATGGGGATACATGCCTTTTCCTTTCAAATGGGTTTAATGTGGATCTGGATTCCCTTTCATTTTTGCACGAGATGAAAATTCAGATTCCTTCTTCTCCCTGGTTTTAGGAAGAGAATGGAGAGAACAGTCTTCAATAATTCCCTCTATTTTGAACTGAGCATTGCTAAAATTCCAGTTTCTGCATCAGTGATTTATAATTGACTGCTGGGTTCTTTGCACAGCAGGGAGTAAAGATCTCTCCCATCATACTCAGACCAGGTGCCCCTCAGCTGGTAGTCGAAATGGCTGGTTTAAGCAAAACCTTCCATGCAGCAACATTTCAGAGAGGCAGAGAACACACATCAGGTTTTTTAAAGCACTTTTTAATATATTTGCCATAGATGTGCAACCCAGTGAACATCCTATTTTTTTCTCAGTGGCTTCAGTTGAGTGTTCCCTTTAAAATATCCGCTTTTTGAACATCTTTCCCCATTTCTGTTAAAGAAGCAGGATAAAGTGAGGAGGGGGCAGACAGGTTCAGTAGGATGCAACATGCAGACAAACTTAGAGGGTGTTTTTTAAGATGTAGCCCCCCTCTCCCTCCCTCCCTTCCTCGCACAGACCTTATTTCTTATTTGTTATCTGGCAATTTTTATGAATGGCCTAGATTATAGGGCTGCTGTAAGGATGAGTGAGATGAGGATCATAAAGCACCTGGCACACTAGAAGTGCTATAGAAATGCTGAATAAATGTGCAATAAGGAGGAACCTGAATCTTGATTTTTTGTGCTGGTTTTGATTGCACCTCATGGAGTGAGAGCGGGATGTGTAAAACCTCCTCACACTGTGACTCTTGCCCCATTACTTTTATGTGTTTGTCAGCTGGAATGCACCCAAGCCAGGCCTTCCCTTTCAAAAAGAAAGTGTTAGGTTTTTTCCCTTGAGGAAGATTTAAAAGGGAAGCAAGGGACTGCCTGCCTCAGGTAGGGGAGGTCAGAATGTGTGCTAGGGATTCCCTTTGAAGAAGTGCATGCCATCTGAATCAAGGACCAGAGCTACCTGCAGCTTGGAATCTGCAGGGACCGGAAGCGGGGCCTTTTCCAAGATGGGCATGGGAAGAGAAGAATGACCCTAATGCCATATTAAGAAACCACCATATTCTGTGTTTATTTTGACGTGTTCAGGATCCACTCATGATCCATCTGCTTTACCTGGAGCCAGGTGCATCAGCACCTCTTTTTCATTCCTACACTGACTTCCTTGCATCTACCTGTCAGTTGAGCAACCTCTTCTTTCTCCATTGAAGACTCCATTCCCAATAAGGTGATTTGTCAGCAGTAAGTTGGACTAGAGATAGCACTGGACAGGGCTTGAGTTCAGTAAGGATGGACCACCCTTTTTCTCTTTCCTCCACATCCTTTTCCTTTTTCCTTCCTTCCTTCCTTCCTTCCTCTTTCTTCCAATGCAGCAAGCTGCCTGGGAACAAACGGAAAGCTTGCTATTGAGGACAACCAGAGGGCTTTTGAAATTAAGCCACGGGCCACATGGTGCCCACCCTTCTTCTGTGGTAATCGCCAGCCAGCTCCTGTGAACCTACCATGCAGCATAGACAAAGTCCTTTCCCTATGTGGCTGCTGGTCTTAATGTATCAGTTTGAATACAGAATTGCTGGTCAAACAACACAGATTGCCTGTTTCAAAACGTTAATACTAGGCAAGAGGGAGCTGTTTTCATCTAGACCACAGCACATGGCAGTGGGGTAGATTTAATCCTTCCCTTCTGGGCCATTATCTCGCACCATTTCGACAAGCACCTCTCTCCTGTTTTGACAATGAACAATTTTTGCTGGGAGGGAGGAATGATTTCCACTGGGATTGTTGCAGGGGAAGGTCCAATTGCACTTCTCTGCATGCTACAATCCTGCTGAAAGCAGGGGACTTCTCCCCTGCACCTGGCCGGCTTTAAAAAATCCAGATATGGCTGCTAACCACCAATTAGAGTGATGTCTAGTTTGCCCTTTCAATTGTGCCTTTGAGTTTAAGGGAATATATTCATACTTGAGATATCTTCATGCTGACACATAAGATATTGTTGTGGTTGTGACACTAATATAGAGAACCCACCATTCCGCACTGGATCCCACATCCTGTTGGAGATGGATACAAAAAAGTCAGAAAGGAATATCCTAGATCAGGGACCAGTGTGCTTGCTGCACATATCTAACTGGCTTCCAATCATTCCAGAGCTAGTCCTTAATGCCTCCAGCATAGCTTGATGGAGAGACTAATACATTTGTCTCTTCAGTTCATTAACTCACAAATGTGTTCCTCGGCCTGCCAGCTGAGGTCCTTCCTCGTGCCACTGGTTCACTGACATAATGAGCTGGAAGCTACCTTGTGAACAATGCAGAAAGAGGATCAGATAGATTCTCCACTTCTCTCTCAGGCTGAGGTCTTCAACACGGTGCATGTGGGTGGAAAAGTCCCTATGGACACCTGTTGATGCCTGCCATGTTCTCAGTCCCTCCTGATTTTTATTTTTTCAGCATTTTCAAACTTACAAGATTAACTGGGAGGCTGCTTTGCTGCAGAGAAAAGTGCTGCCTTCCAGCAACACCTTTATTTGTGTGAGAAAGAGTCGCTTTATGTTTTGGAGCTCAGACTCCACTTCTGCTTTGTGTTTAGATTCTTGGACACATCACTTTTCTTTTAGTTTCATCAGCTTGGCTTCAGGGAAATGAGTGTTCTGTGACTGGCCATGCCCAGCATGGCAGCCATTTTATGTACGGGGAAAGCAGCCCCATAGCAGTCTTTTGGGAGACTGCCCAAAATATTTTCACTTACCTTGGAGATGGCCACCAAGCCAAAAAGGTTGGGGACCCCTGTTCTAGGATGTGTGTGGAGAAGGTCTAAAATTTGCTTCTTCCCCATTCCTTCTTTATATGTATTTACTTTCTGGTATTTTTATAGGCATTTGCCCTTTATGGTATTTGCTCTCAACTACCAATGATTGAGCATGCATGCACGTTTCTTGGTGTGCATTGAAATACTGCCCTGACACTGACTTGGGATGTTGTGAGCTACTTATTCAATTAATGCACAGTCCTATGCATGCTTAGAAGAGATGTATACTCCACCTTTCCCCTCCGAAAGATAACTATCTCATGTACCTTCCAAAATATTTTAAAAAAACTATGTGGCTCCAAACATTCAAAGTCAGTGTCCTCCTCACTGACACTGTGAATATCATGAAACAACGCTGAATGGATCATCTTTGACACACAGACTGAAAGCTGCTGTCCAAAGACAAAACACACTGTAACTAAGACTTACCACACTTCCCGTATCTGAGGAACATCCAATTCCAGTTTGTCTGTGGCTGTTGCCATTTTTACAAGAAAGGAAAGGAACGTGATCAGGACCAAGTTCCGGAAATTAATAGAAATAGCCTTGAGGGATTGGAAAGCTGTAGAAATGCTTTATGTAATACTGTTTGGGCTTTCTCCATGTTACAGCCACCTATTCAGTTACTTTAAACCAGTGTTGCAGAACCTCAGTCCTGAAGACCACATGCAGTCTTGCTGGTGGTTCTCCAGATGACCTCTGTCCCTTCCCCTGGAACTTTCCCCAGTGATTGGATGGTTTCCTGGCTTGTGTGCAGCTTTTCCCGCATTCTAAAAGGTGAAAATGCCACTTCTGAGGCTTCCTTACTGGCAGTGAGATCTTGAAGAAAATATGCTGTTCTTTGGGGTATTTGGGCCCTGCCTCCTTTGCTTTTGGCTCCACCCTTTTGCCATCAACCTCTAGCTTGCAGCCCCAAGACCTTTCCCAGAACTGAATTTGGGACCTGACTAGAAAGAACTTCAACAGCCCTGCATTAAACCTCCTTGTCTCCATGGCAGCCAACATGTGTAGGGCAGCTTCAGCCACTTGCTGCTTTCTCCACAGCTGAGGACTGATTGGTGCAATTGGTGATGTTCCTCCCCTGCACACTCACACTGCTGCTCTCCCTGGCTGTTTTGGGAGCAGCAGGCATCTGAACTGTCTCATCAAAGCGGCTTACTGTATGAATCACTGACCTGTGGCAGTGGAGACTTGCCACATCGCCACAAGCCGTTCCTGTTGGTGGGTTGTCAGCAGTCTGGAAAGGAACTTCTCTCTGCATAATGCGGGACACTCTTCACGGTGAGCGATGCTACACTTTGCGGCAGCTCTGTGAAGAACTGCATGGCCAAACTGATTTGATCCACTTGCATTATGGAGACTGGCATGAAGGTGTTCCTGGGACACAAGCAAGCCAGGTAACCATATAACGAAGGGGTTTTCAGCAGAAACTGATCATTAAAAAAAAAAAAAAAACACTCAGCCTGCCATCCATCTGCAATATAGTTTACCCTTTAGCTGGGAGAAGCTAATCCCCTTGGTTCCTGTGCCACCACAGTTCTCTGAGAGGGAGGAGAACTTCAAGCTGGTTCCTGGAGAAGGGCTATGCTGCAGCAGAGCAGTGGAATGCAGGTTTTGCATGCAAAAGATTCCATCCCAGCTCTGCACAGGCCTGGAAAAGAACCTTGCCTGGAACCCTGAAGATTGGTGCAATTGGTGATGTACACTGCTAGTCAGTGTAGATCAGCCTTCCCCAACCTGGTCACCCTGCCTGGGGCTGAAGAGAGCTGTAGTCCAAACATCTGGAGGGCACCAGCTTATGGGAGACTGGAGCAGCTTGGAGAAAGCAGCTGCTTAGGTTCCTAAATGGCGGTTGAGCTGAACGTGAGCCCAGAAAGAGGAGAAGGCACTGGGACACCTGCTTTGGCTCCAGGTCTATTCAGCTTTGCTTCTTTGCACAAACGTACTCTGCTCTTTTGCCAGCTCCTGTTTAGGTGGGCAGGATTTGGTGTGCTGCGTTCAGCATTTTAGGGGCCAGAAATATCTTCAGATTTAGACATTTCTGCTTTCTTTCAGTGCCTAAGGGCCGGTGGCAGAATTCTGAGTCTCAGTCTTTGGGCAGAGTCTAGCAGTGGTGCTCTGGAGACCATGAATGGCCCATGAACTTTTCCAAAAGTTGGCCTTATGTAATGTCTGATTTACTTTTTCCTGACACCTCCTCTAGTTGCATCTTGGATAAAGCTCAGCCACAACTACTCAATATACCATTTGTAATGACATGGAGAGCTCAGCTTCAGTCATTCCTGAATTTCAAGAGTAGACAAACCTGCTTACTTATGACCATCCAAGAATGCTTGATATCCATGTATAACGGATTGGATGGATCAAAGGATCTCTCTCCTCCTGCGAAGTCTGGCACCTTCCAGGACCTCTCAAGGCTTCCTCCCTGCCCAGATGTGTGAATCCCCCAGCTGAACACACGAGTCCGGGTCTCCATGGGGTCTTTCCTCTCTCCCGTTCTCTCAGACACGCTTGCGCCGCCTGTGGAAGTCAACTCTTTCAGCGCCGTTTCAGCGTGTCTTGCCGGAGCCCAAGACGGACAGTCCTCGCGGCCTCCCAGGGAGGCGCCCTCCTTCCCACGCAGACGTCCTGGGGCCAAAGGCGCTCTGCCGCCCCAGTGCAAGCAGCGGCCGCCTGCCCTCGGCAAGCCAGCGGCTACCGGATCAGCACCACGGAGAGCTCCCCGGAGCGCCGCCGCGCGCCCGCCCAGCCTGCCGGAGCAGCGTCGGGGGGACTGTCTGGCGCGCCCGAGAGGCAGCCGCGCTCGGCTGCTTCCCCTCGCGGCGCCGTCATCAGCTCCGGCCCCGGTCACGCTCGCATTCACACGCACACGCGCGCGCCCACCCGCGCCCCCGCGCCAGCACTCCCGCTGCCTCCTCTCGCCCTGCCTTCTTCCCCCGCCCCTGTCCGCTCTCCTTGGCGCACACAGCCGAGGCGCGCTCGCTGCACTTCGCCGGCTCCTCACCAGCTCCGCAAATGGCAACTCCAGGCGCGGGATTTTGGTCCTTCGGGTCTGAAGAAGGAGCCGGAGACCCGGACAACCCTGGTACAGGTAGGAGCCCACAGCCCCCAGGAGGAGAATGTCCACCAGCACCGACGCATCTGCCTCAGCGAAGTTGCCCGCAGATCCCCAGGGTGGGGTCGTCTAACCCTGACCTTACTTCTTCATCGTCATCAGCATCACCACCAGAGATCGTCTGGTCGCACCGTTTCTGCTTTTGATCCTCCTGGAAAGCTCGAACGGCTGTCGCATCTGTCCGGGGAAGGCGCCCTCTAAGCATAGATCCCTCCAAAGGGCACCTGGGCATGGCCGACGCGAGGCTCAGCCGGACGGCTCACCTGTGCACCATGGAGCGACTGACCGTGCCGCTGGGGGCGGGGAGGGGACTTTGAGAAAGGCTGCTGGGGCCAATTCTGGATCCTGGACAGATATCAGGATCCGACCCAGATGGGAAAAGCTGGGGATGCGCCAAAATGCAGTTGCCCCGCAAAAAAGGGAAGGATAGCGGGAGGGGAAGGGGGGAGCTGAGAAGACCAGCGATTGTTTCATGTCAGAGCGCTTAGGAAGTTGCATGCGTTCCCTTCTAGATCTGAGGACTCTAGCCATAGATAGAAGACTTTATATGCTCCTTATGTATTGCTTTGCCTATTCCTCCCTAGCCTACACCCCCCCCCTCAATATCGAGGGCACTCGGGGCAGAGAGGAGCACATGCGCAGCGCAATCCTAAACATGTTTGCTCAGAAGAAACCGCCGCCTGGTTTCATTGGGATTTACTCCTGTTGATACGTGCAGCCTAACACAATGCCCGTAACCCTTAGCAGGCTCTGCATCCTAAGCAAACCTTGGACAGGGGAACGAGAGAACAAAGCCACTGCTGTTCTATCGTGACCCTGCTGTAGTGGCAGGAGCAAGGGAAGATTTCTCGGGGAATCCACTCGAAACGACCTGTCTGATCCTGTGTTCTTGTTTCTCCCATCCCTTAGCCAAAGCTTGGTGTCAGGCTGCCCAGAAGTTTACAGGAGGGATTTCAACCAAACTCTGCGGTAAGCTTTGAAAAGGAAGTGGGTATTCAAATCACAGCAGAAAGCTTTAATCAATATGGGGGCGCGGGGGGGGGGGGCGGCGGTCTTCAGTAAGGAAAAAGCAAAATAAAGGGGAAAAAAACACCTGTTCCCCCAAATAATGGTAAGGAATCGAGTACTTCCAGAGTAAGCTGAGCATTAGCTGATGTCCATTTGTGTAAATCATTGGGAGACCGTCTTTAACAAATCGGGCGGTGGGTGAAGGAAAGCACTTTGGTGTTTTGAGTCTCTGCTGGTGCTATTTAGCGCTTCGCCCTTTGTGTCTTTGTTAGCTTTGCTGTATGGAGATGGGGATAAGCCCACGGAAACAGGGGCTACTAAGGAAGACTCGAGCTCGGTTGCCAGAAAGGCCACGTGCACCTGCAATAAAAAGCCCTGCGGTTGCCAGAAAGAGAATATTAATTACGCATTTTTACACTCCTCAGGTAACAAGCCCCTACGCGGAAACGGGAGTTAGAATGGGGTCAGGCGACTGAATGGTTTGGAAGGCATCTATCACTTGGCATGCATTTTCCCCCAAAGAAAAGGCTTTAAGTGAAATGCAATAAAAGCCAGTTTCATTCAGGTCCATGGGAACTTTGGCCATTGACTCGATATGGGCAGACTGTTCCCTTTAAGCAGGTAGGAGAGAAACTGGTAAACAGCTCTGCGTGAACACCACGAGCTCTCTCCTTGCCAAGATGTGGTTGTCGATTTTACAAGTCTGGGTAATATGCATACACAAATGCCTGGGCAATATACACGAACAAACATGTTTGCTTCAAGGAGCCAACTCGAACCATGCCAGAGATACTAAAGATTGGCTTGATTTGCTCAGGGCTTAGCAAAGCAATATTTCTAGGATAAGATGTAGATTCTAAGGGAAATATCCCTCTTTCTCTGTCCTACACAGACACAATTATCTGAGTAACCAAGAATGTTTTATGATCCTTCCAAAGTGTTTATTTCAAATTCCATCACATCTTTTCTAGTCCAATGAATTATATGAAGTTTAAAAAACAAAAAACAAAACAAAACTCTGTGTGTGTGTGTGTGTGTGTGTGTGTGTGTGTGTGTGTAGAGAGACTGAAATCTAGGAACTGGAATCAGGCTGTTAATTTGTAAAGTTCATGCCAAGAATATATTTATGGGTTATGAATCTTTCTGCTTCAATAAATCACTTCAAATCCTTCTATGCTGGATGGCAATATATATAACCGATAAATAGCCTTCTTCAACATCACAGAAGCTGCCTTGACATTGTCAATTACTCAGCATGGGGCGGGAGGGGAGGGGGGGGTCTGAATACTCTACTGTCTGTTCTTTTGCCAAACTTATGGTGATTTCAGCACCACTCGGAGGGACAGTGACCAAGAATGATTTACATCTATTTGAGGAATGATGCATAATCGGTAAAAGAAAACAGAATTAAAAGAAAATTCGAGGAGGAAAAAAAACCTCACTGCAAACTGTTACTGGTGCATGATATAATTTATAAAATTCATAATTTTCATATTTGCTTATTTGGAAGATGGTTCATTTTAAGAAAAAAATGACCAACTGAAACCAATTCACACATACAAGCAGAAATGTAGAGATTTTTCAGGGGCTTGTTTTCTGGAAATAAATGGATCCCTAGCTACAGCATTTTGTGTGTTAACAGGGCCATACATTTAATTTATATTCCCAGTATGCCATTTTGATTCAGTGACTTTTCCAATGGCATCATGCACCTCTGAATGGAGATTACTTAAAATGAATGAGAGAAATTTTGACCGTTCGCCCTAAATGGGAAAGGTGTCCAAAATAAAAGTCATATTTCATTCCTTTCCATTTCTTCAGATCTTCTGCCTGCCTCTGATGGAGAAGTAGCCACTTTGTCTTTCCTCCAAGATGTAATGGACATTTTGCTCCAGTATCTGGTGAAAAATTTTGATAGATCAACCAAAGTTATCGATTTCCATTATCCAAACGAGCTCCTTCAGGAATATAATTGGGAACTGGCTGATCAGCCACAGACCTTGGAAGAAATTCTGCTGAACTGCAGGACCGCGCTGAAATACGCCATTAAAACAGGTAAGAGCTCAGTTCGGAGCTCGCACACCTGCCCCGCTTGGTGCGTGCGGAGGCAGGACACCAGCCCCTGGCCGTCCTCCAATATCTCTTGTCTTGCGCTGAAGCAATGTCGCAATCTTTGACGTTTGCCGTAAACAGCAGCAATTCCTGCTTTCAGGAGGGGTGGGGATTCTTTATTGGGGCAGGAGGATTTTTGGTGGAAAGACGTTGGCTGGGTAAAATACTGTCTTGTTTATGGGAACGTGTGTCTTTGGGGAGTGATAAGCCAATCGAATCTAGCGTCCTAATCTCGGTACACAGGTCCGTAATCGCTTTTAAAATGATGCCTTCGCTTCTTGTAGAAATTGCCTCGCGATTCTTTGGTTGTGTTTGTGTAAACAGAGCGAGGATGAAGGAATGGCGCACTCCTTTTAGCAACATACCCAGAGCCATAAGGGAGGGTCCCAATTCTTTGCTCGCTCGTGTGAAACCCTGGAATGAATTCCGAGCCCACGGCTGTGCCAATCTGAAAGATAACCAAAGTCACCCCGCTGATTAGGGTGGAGTGTCTCTGCCCCGCCAAGAGACATACCCGAGGAACGATTTGCCCATGAGGGGGTGTCGAACCTCCGGAGCAAAGGGAACCATCAAAGAGAACCATCGGGCTTGTTGTGGGGTTGGAAGCAGTCTAGAGGGGCCGGAGGGCAGAAGCCATAGGGCAAGAAACTCCCCGAAATTGCGCGGCTGCTTCGCTGCTCCTAAAGGCAAAGCTCGGCATCCTAAAGCAGACCTAGGCGGGCTGCAAGTTCCTCGTTCGCCTGATCGGACAGTGATTCCAGAAACTGGTGCTGAGCGGCAGGTAAGGGCCAGGCGGCCTTCGGGTTCCACGCTGTCGCCCCATTGAAGAAGAGGAAGAGGCCAGTTAGCCCGAAAACGCGAAACGGCGCTCTTTCACGGGGAGGCGGCGCGCCCCAAAACCGCCTTTGGCTGCGCTCCTAGGCACCGACCTCGGGCTGGGGGGCCTCTGGGGTGATCCACGTTCGGGAGCTTCAGCCCGACGCCCTCGGGAGGACGCCTCGATTGCGGAGGCGCAGCGAGGGCGGGCGGGGAAGGGTTAATCCCAGGCAAGCGCCCAGTCGATTTCAGTCTCACCCCGCCACTCTGGGTGTTCAAGCAGGCTTACTCCTGAGTAGGTGCATCTGGGATTGCAGCCGAAACCCCGATTTCATGACCTCCCCAAACCACAAAAAATATGGACTCTGCAAACACAGTTCTGGATAGGCTCGTGTTACGTCCGCAATGTACTTGTTCATCGCTTTGGCTTAGCTGCCGCCTTTGGCCACAGCGGAGGCTCCGGCCGGGCTCATTCGAAGTTCGCTTGCTGTCGCGGGCGGGTGCCTTGCTTTGGGAGGCTCCCCCAGCCCGCCCCCCTGTGGTTCGCGGTTCGCGGGCTGACTTGTCGAACCCTGCCCGCGGTCGCTGGCTGCTTTCGGCGCGTGACCGCTGGCCCGGGAGCAGAGGAACTTAGCCGGCTTCTCTTGGCAATAAAGCGCGTTGGTTGCAGCTGGATTCGCACGCCCGAGGCAGTGCGCGGAGGGAGGCAGCTCCAGATTTGGTCATACTTGGGGCAGACCAGTTAAGGTCTATGGGACGTCCCGAATCTGCATCCAATCCTTAGTTTAATAGCTAGCAAAGATAATGTAAAGGGGGAAACTAATGCTGCAGTCCTATGCCCCCTTACCTGGGTATGAACCCAGTACACTCAACTGGATTTACTGCTTAAGTAAACCTATATAGGATTCCACTATAGGGCTCCCGTCTGACAGCAAATAAGGCTCATTTAATTCAATGGAACTTACTTCTGGTTAGACGTACATATGTGATTATTATTAATATTATTATAGTAAACAGCAGCATCTGCTATGCAGACTTGCTGCTTCTGGACTCGAAGGACTGTAAGAAACGCAGATGGATGAGAAAATATTTTTGTTCGGAAAGAAAGAAAGGGAGAGCCAGAAACACCTTGCCTGATTAAAGCATTGCGAGATGTAGACAGAAAATAAACACACGCGCGCGCGCGCACACACACACACACACAGGGAGGGAGGGAGGGAGCAGACAGATTTATTGCGGCATCGACTTCCACGGACTAGAGTCCGTTTCATCAGAGGCATGAAACGTTGGGTACAGTTGTTGTGAGGCACGCGTATGGTGGAAAAAACGTAACCAGTGAAGGGCCAAGCAGACGCAGAGGAGCGAAGCGGCAGCAAACGGTGCCGTAGTCACGGAGGCATCCGGCTCCAGACTCCGCACGCGTTTCAGCGGGGTCGTCTGAATGTGACCCAGTCGCATTCTCTCCCACCCGCGCGGCCGGGGTAGCCTCGTCCCGGCAGGAGAGCCGGAGCAACCGCGAGGGCCCGCTTTGGGAGGCGTGCCTTGCCCGCAGGCCCTCCTGGGGCAAAGGGACCTGCCTGCCCCTCCGCCCGAAGCAGCGTCGCTGATCGCAACGCGCTGCCCGGAGAAGCGGGAGGGCCGCTCGCCGCCCGCGCGGTGGCCCCGGAGCCAAGTCCGCGAGCCGCATGCGGAGCGGCCGCCGGATCCCCGGGCGGCGACGCGGCGAGGGCTGCCGGCGAGTGGCGACGGGGCCTCGCGATCAGCGGGATTTGTCAGCCCTTGGCGACCATTTCCAGAAGGCGTTTATCGTATCATTTCGGTGCCTTGATCGCATATCAGTCCTTCCAAACGATGCCGGTCTTTCCCCGGTATACCTGCAGAAATAGAGGCAGGTTTTTTGAAAGCCCCATTTATGAGTCGTACTTGGTCAAACTTCAGCTGCACATAAATTAAGTCTGTGACGCCCGATATATGAGGAAGTATTGTTAGTCCGATCCATTGTAACACACGAGAGTTCGGCACTCATGGAGAAATGAGCGAGCGACAGATCCGCAGGCACGACTCCAGGAAAGCTTAATCGGGCAGGTCTTGGCTGCATCTTATATACAGAATGCAAGGAAATTTAGTAGCTTGTTGAAGGATGCTGGTCATGGGTAAGGGATATGCAATAAACAATTTATGCACATTCTATAAACACGCGGTGCGATCTCAAAACCAAATTCTGGATCCTTTAATGGGGAGGAGCCTGTAATATTCATCGACGATTATTTTCGACCTGGTTCTTTAAGTCATTTGGGCCGAAATCGTAAACGTACTCCCTAGGATACTGAACTCTGTGGGACTTGCCTATGAGTACAGGTCCACAGGAACCCGATATAAAAATACAGGAACATCCAGTTGACATGGAAACGGGCTAACGAACCCAATATTTGCGTTTTACTGGGCAATCAGTCACCCATAAAGAACTGACTTGTGTGAGTAACATTTTAGTTCGAAAGTCAGCTAAACCAGCAAAACGGGGAAGCGTGAAAGCCCGAATATTCTTGCATAAGCATCTTGGAAATGTGTACGTGTAAGGTGGATTCTTCCCGAGTAAGTACAGCTGAGGAATTATTTAGAATGAAGTTGAATTTATCCAAACGGAATGGAAACGCAGATCCCACTGAAGTCAGATGCACATTCGTTTTTGTTGGTTTGTTAGTGGTGCAAGGGGCTTGCCTTTTTTTCCTTTCCCATCTACCGTCCTCTAATACCACAGGTGCATATCCAGATACTCTGGTTTAACTTCTCTAGAGGAATAAAGTAGGGAAAGAAGGGGAATAGGACCGGGATGGCCGAGCCAGGCCGTCGGGTCGTTGGCGGTGATGGTCACCCCGACGCAACCCGTCCGGATCGCGACCAGGCGAACTCCGTTGGGCGTGAGCATCGTCCCAGTAGGGGGAGGTCACTCGGACCGCACAGGGGCCCGAGGGCGGCGATCCGGAGCAGGAACCTCCCTCGGACCCGCGCGGTGGGACCCGAGGGAGCACGCGAGCCAACCAGGCCGAGGCGCGCCCGGGCGCACCGCCCCGCTCACGCTTCGCCGGGCCTTCCTCCGGCCGCCGTGGGCGGGCCGCGCCGCCTGGGGCCGCCCGGCGTCCGGATTCCGGAAGGGCGCCCGCCCGGCCGGCCCCTTTCGCCCGCCCGGCCGCGCCTCCAGAGCGCCGGCCGGCCGGCCAGGAGGCGCGGGCCTGTCCCCCGGGAGGTGCCGGGCCGCCGCGCGCCAGCAGGGCCGGGTCGGCGGAGAGGCGAGGGCGCGCGGCCGGGCCGAAAGCGGGAGCGAGCCGCGCCGTCGGAGCCGCCCGCCCGGGGACGGGGCAGCCGAGGTTTCGAGCGCGGGGGACGCGGGCGCCCGGCCCGCCCTGCATCGCTGAGCGGAGGGAGCGGCGCGTCGGGGAGCGGGCCGGCCGGCCTCCGCCCCTCAGCGGGCCCGTGGAGGCCGAGGCCTCGTTCTCCTCGCCTCTTCTGTGGGGGACGCACGCCCGGACGGGGAGAGGAGGCGGCCTGGAACGCTTTTGCCGTGTCGTGTGATCCCAGGAAAAGCCAGGCGGTCTTAAATGGTCGGGAATCAACGGGTTTCGGCCGGCCTGCTAACCGTGCCCAGCTCGTCGCTCCCCCCACCTCTTTCAGCCTGGTCGAGCCCCTCCTGAGCCCGGGTGGGACGGGTCGAAGAAGGAGCGAAATTGTGGAAAAGTCGACTCCGTGAGAGGACGCGCAGCCACGCCTGCTCAGCTTATTGCTTGAGGACACGATGACATGTTCACCTGTTCTTGGGGCAGATGGGTTTTATTCTGCTCACCTGTTATCAAAGCCCACCCACATTTCCTTCTTATCTGGGCCAGAGTCTTCCGTAGCAAATCTCACAACTGCCAGTTAAAATTCCGGTCACTTGCAGTTTGGAGACCAAGCAGGGCTGGAGTTTGATCAATCCTCACTGGGGCCAAAACGCGCAATACTTTAAACGTAGGTCTAGCAGTTACCTCTCTCGTACTGCCAGAGTAGATGCAAATAGCTAGTCCAGATCGCAAAAGCCCCTTACACATCTATGGTGATGCCCATATCTGGAAGGGGCCCCTAAATCTACATGA